AAAGTAAAAATTATAAACGCTATATTGATTCATATTTCATTGTGGACATTTTTATTTGTTTTAAGTGCCCTTATATATACAAATTTTAAAATTTATATCGCTGTAATCTATAAAATTAAACATTAAATAATACCAACGAAAACAATTAGAAAAACTGCATATGTATATGTACATAATATTGCCGAAGTCCGTATTATATTAAGCTCATGTTACTATGGAAGCCTATTCTAATCTTCGGGCGTTTTAATTCATATAACATTAAAATGTTAAATTGTGAGAGAATTAATATCAAAATGGATTTTTTAATATTAGATAAAGCAATTATGACTTACTTGCCCTTTAGAGATAAATAAGAACTCGTTTATGATAAATAAAAATATTTATTATCTATACTATTAAATAAGGGCAGCTCGTTTTTGAAACCACTATCCTCGAAAACTTTTTCACCGATTTACACAACAGTTGATTATGAGTTGTTTTTCAAAATGATCCATGTTGTTGTGAGATGATTTTAAGTTCTTTAAATGGCGGATCTGCTGAGTAGAAATGAAATTAAAACTATTTTTAACGTGTTAAATTTGTTTCCTACGTATTCTAAATAATGTTCACCATTTATAATAATACAGTAGACCTGCCGGTAGAAGATCGGAAAGCAATAGCCATAGATAGGCAGAGGGAGAGAAGACTGATTGAGACGGCCATAAATCCACAGTTCGTGAAGTTAAAAAAAGAAAAAAACAATAAAAATGTTTATCCCTAATTTTACAATGTGCTATTAGCACTGTCGTTAGGATTCCATTGGGATTTCGATAAAAATAGCACCAAAATAACAAACTATTTGTCATCGAACAAATGTAGCAGAAGAAACGAGAAGAAAGACACAACTTATCCGGAGGTCATATAACATTATATCTATATATACTTTCAATACTAAAGATTGATGAAAAGAATATAATAAATTATTAGTTAAAATTCTCAATGCTCTTAATCTATGGAAGTGAGGGAAGACACTATCTATTAATAATTTAAATTTAGTTTTTCATTTAGAACGTAGTTATGTTTTGTTAGTTAATAAATTTTGTTTTTTTAATTCAATATCTTTGATTGATTTTTATGAATTATTAGCTACTGTTAACTGTATTTTGGACTTAACTTGTGTTTGACAGTTCAGTATAGACATAAGAAAAATTTTTAAATTTTCTTTTATTTATGAGAGATGCATTCAATCTTGAATTAAAGACTATTGATGTGATTTATATAGAAGTTGGACGACTAATAGTTAAAAACTGAAGTAACAGTGGTTTCAATCAAATGAGAATAAAAGGCGACTTTTATTATATAAGAGCTTTTATATCGTTTAAAAATTCTACTAGACTACGAGCGTTATCTTTATTCATTGATCCAAGAAAGTTAATTTCATCATCCATAGTTTAATTCCATCATCTATAGTTTTAATACGTTTCTCGAATATTTTGCACTTGAAGGAAGACAAATTCAAAATTGTTGTTTCTGATGTGTTTTGCGCTTTCGGGACCATCGACAATGCAGAGAGACAATCGCTATGAGTGTACTGACTAAATACCGACAGTCAATATTTCGCATATGGACTGATTGTAGTCAGCTTTCGCGTTGAAAAATCTTTGATTTAATCCTGTGTGCATCAGACGGAATTAAAATAAATAATTTGTATCCGAAATCACTTTTTTAACATATTTAAAATATACTCTTGCATTATTTCAGTGACATTACGACAAATGCCGGGTACTCGGGGGCGGGGTGGCCGAATGGGCTAAAGCGTGTGCACAGCACCGCGAATTGCCTGGCAACCAGATATATGAAGATTTGAGAGACAAGAAAAGTACGAGTTCGCGTCCCGGTGCCAGAGGGAATTTTAAATTCCTCACCCTCACCCTTCGGCCCGGGAAAATCCCGTATAGCCTAAACGGCGAGGTAGGGAAGAACAAAAAAAAAAAAAAAAAAAATGCCGGGTACTCATACTAAATATATTTTCGCATTTAATTGAAAACTATCCGAACGAAATCGAATTTGTAACTATGTTAATCGAAATTATAACTGGAAATATTAATTAATATTTCCTCTTATCAATATACACAATCATTAGTTTGTTGAGAGTACCAAAGTTATCCACTTAACCGACTACCGTTCCTAAGTGCTATTACTGGCGGGAAGAACTACTGGATTTATTTATTTATTCTTGAAAAAAATTAACCAGATTGATTATGAAAGAGTTATCTTATTATATCCAAACACGGGATACGAGTCACTTAACTCTAATACTTTTACAACACTGACATATCTAGTTTAAAAACGTTTGGAACCTTAGCCAACTTTAAAATAAATTGTTAGCAGAAATCTAAAATCACTAAAAAGATAGAAATCTAATTCTTCAACATATTTCTTACACCTTAATAAACTAATATAAATAAGATACATGATTTTCGTTCAAAAGTGTTTAAATTTATATGTACTTGCATATGAGACATAAAAAAAATTGAATGTAAACATTTAATTGTACGATACAGTAAACTTTATAAACTTGTTTAAATTATTTCTGATAAATAGGTTAAGATTTTTCTTTAAAATGATGCTGAACAAATCCTTTTGAAATGGATAGATTCATAAAATATTTGTTTGGGTTAAATATAAAAGACCCCATTTTATTGTATATGAATTTATTAGATTTTAATCTTCTCCTGAGATGAAATTAATGAATTATATATAAGAACATAGTTTGTTCAATGATTCATATAAAAACATTACTTATACAAAAGTTTAAATGAATAAATTCATGCATAAATATATAGCAATTATACATTTTACCCATGCAATTAATTTAGTCATAAACATATTTTTTATTTAATTGCTACTATGGTAAATAACCGTCACAAAAAAAATACTTTCATTTTTTTTTATCAGTCAATAAGATGATTAGGATTTTGCAAAATTTAAATACATACATATTAATTTTTAAATAACACCATTGCAAACAAAATTATAACGTACACTCAAAACCAAACAGAATACACTTATGTTATATTCGATATATTGATATTTTTAAGTCAATGTTTTGTGATTGTTAATTTTTATAAGTGCTCAATTGTACTCGGTTATGAAATTTAAATAAATAATGAAATATCTAGAAAGTATCAATTTCAGTCTTGATGCTCTTTTGATCTAAGTATTTGATATTTTTACACGTTCGGGACAAACTTTTTTAAAACCTTCAGCTGTCACATTAGCAACTCATCAACTCTGGAACATCAGTTGTGTCGTTCAGTTCAGAATATTTCGTTTTCCTGTTTGTAATAAATTCAATTTACGGACTGAAAGATGTATGTCAATTATTTTTAACTCAATATGATAAAAAAAAAGATGAAATTCGATTTTTAAAAAACCTAGTAACTATTTTATTTATTAGCAACAACGTCATATTTAAAATTAAGGTTTCTAAAGAACAGACACCTTTGAATTATGATTTTATTTTTTAAATATGTGCAAGCATAAAAAGTACATATGTGCAAAATCATAGCATACGTTTGGGACAAACTTTTTATAAACCTTCAGCTGTCACATTAGCAACTCATCAACTCTGGAACATCAGTTGTGTCGTTCAGTTCAGAATATTTCGTTTTCCTGTTTGTAATAAATTCAATTTACGGACTGAAAGATGTATGTCAATTATTTTTAACTCAATATGATAAAAAAAAAGATTAAATTCGATTTTTAAAAAACCTAGTAACTATTTTATTTATTAGCAACAACGTCATATTTAAAATTAAGGTTTCTAAAGAACAGACACCTTTGAATTATGATTTTATTTTTTAAATATGTGCAAGCATAAAAAGTACATTTGGGACAAACTTTTTATAAACCTTCAGCTGTCACATTAGCAACTCATCAACTCTGAAACATCAGTTGTGTCGTTCAGTTCAGAATATTTCGTTTTCCTGTTTGTAATAAATTCAATTTACGGACTGAGAGATATATGTCAATTATTTTTAACTCTATATGATAAAAAAAAAGACTAAATTTGATTTAAAAAAAAAAAAAACTAGTAACTATTTTATTTATAACCAAGAACATCATATTTAAAATAATTTTAAACTAAGATTTCTAAAGAACAGATACCTTTAAATTATGTCGTTTTTTTTTAAATATGAGTAAGCATAAATATGCAAAGTCATAGCATAAAAAGTATAGATGTGCAAAATCATAATAAACGATTACAATTACAGTAATCACGATTATTTGATTACGATTACAGTGATATTGATTACGTAATTATGATTGTCATCTTTTTGCTATTTTGAATAATGCATAAAATCGGCATTGTCATTATGTATTATTTTCAGTTTTAATCAAGTAATCATTGATTCCGATTTTTTGATAAAAAGTGATAATTTCAGTTATAGAAAAACATATATAATTAATGTTGTCAAGTAATTGATTGTATTATTTATTTTGTTTTATTAATATATTATTAATGTCACAGTGCTTAATTCTAGAATATTTGTTTTATGTACAATTACTAACAGGTCTCAGAGCAGAAGTAAGAGTAGACGTGGGCAGAGATGACATCTGACGAAGATTGTTAAATTAGACTATAAAAGCTAATTATGTTTTGTTAAATCTATTCTGATATTTGTTTGTTAATTATTTTCTATGGATCTAAGAGAAAAAAAAATTAAATATTTGACCAGCAATAAAGGTACGCATGGAATTTTTATATTGGGTGCCATGATAAGCATAATTTAAGAGTAACACACAAAAATAACTCCGTTTAGCTATTTTCGAACGACACATCCACAACGTCAAATATTCACATTATTCCCTAAAACTTGACCTATTTTGATGCTATTCCTACGTTATCGCAACAGATATCTCCGGGTATGAATCACTGGCTATAAAAATAATAAAAAACAGACAATAAAGACAGATGGCTAAGCTCTATGATACGCTAGTTATTGGGTGCTGTTTACCAAAACTAATAGACAGGTCGAAGCTCTTGAGGCAGCGGGGCCAGGCCAGAGACTGACCAGCGCGCTCCCCTCCCGCTAAAAATACAGGGCCACTACTTAACGTATATATAGCAAACAGGTTGAGCAGCTCCTTTCCTCTGTCTCCATTAAATACAGGTTCCTCCAATGAGCATCCTAATCCTCTACAGAAATAAACATCAATACACCAAAAAAAAAAAAAACTTTTTTTTCATATATTACAAAGAAAGATTTTAACGTGTATTTTTTATCCCACAATTTGCAATTAATTGAAGTTAACCTATAAAGTATCAACTTTACTTGGTATTTCTGTATTAACCTTTTGGTTAATTATTTTATCTGACCTATTTAAATATATATAACCCAGTCAAGGAATGAGGTATATAGTGCGTGAGCAGGGACCTAAGCAGTTCCTTTAGAAATTCGTAGGGTGTGTGAACATCAAAAGTCCTGACGTCTAGGTGGTGAGCCAGGATGAAGGGTAAAAGTCACAATTTACAGGTTTCCTCTTATGTGGGCGGGGTGGCCGAATGGGCTAACGCGTGTGCACAGCACCGCCGTTGCCCGGCAACCTAGTATATCAATCAAATAATATAAAAATAGTCACGAGATCGCGTCCCGGTGCCGAGGGAGTCTTTTAAATCCCCGCCCACAATCCCTGGTCCGGGAAAACCCCGTATAACCTTAACGGCGAGGGGAGGGGAGGACCTAAGAAAAAACAAAATAAACAAGGTTTCCTCTTATATCTCGAAAACAGTACTTTGCAGGGGAAAATGGTCTTAATTAATTAATAAATGAAAGTATATAAAATTACCTAAAACTAGTATTCTACAGTTGTTTTTTTTTATTTATCAACCGTTTTCTAAGTACATGCTCAGAAAAAGTTGACATTTTCGAAAAAAGTTTTACCTCACATTTTTCATCATACTTTCTTTCTATTCATAAGCGAACTAAATTAACATACAAGAAGTTGTAGAGACTTAAATTCCTAATTAGAATATATATATATAGGCAAGTTAATCTCCAACCAGTATACAGTTACAGCTACTTTAAACTTCTTCGTAAAATGTTGTTATTTTCAATAAAAGTTGTTTTTATCATATTCTTGACGTAACACTTTTGTTCGTTTGTCTAATAATACGTATCAGTCTTATACTTATTCTTAATACATATTTTACTTGAAAAATCTAATGTTGTATTATGGAGATAATAAAAAGTCTTATGATTATTATATTCTATTTTCTTGCATTAAATTAATACGATTAGAAACCTCGTAGTATTTACTATTTTCAAAAACACCTTAATATTACACTCACAACTTTATTGAAATTCGCGTTTTCATCCTCTTTGGACGAGAGAGTCCTGGCTCTTGCTAAATTAGCTCTACGTCGTCTCCATCGTCGTCGTCGTCAACAGTCACTCTGTTGAGGCTTTTCTCATGGAAGTGGAGGTACGCTGCTGAACAAGTCAGCATTGCTTTTCGGTATACACATTAGCTGATTTCAGAATCCTTGATCAACCTTGGTAATATGAAGCTTCCCAATAATGGTATTTTCCAGTGCGTCACATTTTCTATTCTACAGTACCAAATGGATAGAGTATTTTAGTTTTCTTATTACTTCCCATTACACGGATTAATCGAACTGTAGCAGTAAAACAAAAGATGCAGGATGAATGAGGAATTCGGCCTCACAGTGATCTTCCTTCTTACTCTCGTCCTTTAAATCCGGTAGAGAGAACCTTCTCCAAAATAAAAATTAGTACAAGAAGTAGTCTGAGTGAACCAAGAGCGTACAGTACCAACAGAGAATTAATTCCAGAAGCTATATCTACATAAATAAATTATTGTATCCTGTCTCAATGGAGTATAGGATGTTGAGAGGTTCATTCGCGCGCACACACACACACAAACAAAACTGCCTTTAAATGCATCGATCTATTTAGTGCAAAGGTATGGTGTGTTTTGGACTTTATTATGTTGCAATGAAAACATTTGTTCTCCTATGCCGTAGTAACGCCTGCTTGATCAGCCATGCGTGCTCTTCCAGTCCAATATAATTTTGCTCTCATAGCGTAAGGGATAGAATAAAAAAAAACTATTTAAAGGGTGAAGTGATCCCGTCCGGACAGTTAGTCCACGTGCCCCCTGGATAACCCGCAAACACGATAAGTAAACTATCATATTCATCGCCAACTCAGTCCAATATAAATACCAATGGAAAGATGATTTCATTGTTTTGATTTAACCTAATTCTTAAATTCTGACGTGGAACAATTGTTACAATATTGTCAACGACTGTTATCTTAACTGTACATAATTAAAAATATTAATACTGATAAGGAAGCGGAATGTGATCCTTATAAATTTTAATCTATGGGTTTTTTCTCTTGAAAAACTCATTTCCAAGCTGCAGGGCCATTAATAGTGATTTATCTCAGTTGTTGACAAATTTGGTAAAAACCAGCGTTCGTTGCCTCTGGTTATCGACCATACCGCTTAACCAAATCATGATTAGGTACTCGTTCGGCGCAAAATTTAACGTTCTTTAATTTCTTAACGAGTAAGTATTTCGCTTCGATGCAACGTTTAGGAGTTATAGGTGAAAAAAAAATCGAAAAAATCAGGCTTTTTAGGTTGTAAAAAGTTTTCATTTGGTGGCATGTTCTAACAAATTTGTAGTTTACTTGTCTAAACCCATATACTCTAGTTAAAAAAATAAAAACCTTTACCCACATTTTTTGTGGATCAATGAACTTCTTTATTTAATTTAAATGAATTCCCCTTTTGATCCTCAAGACAGTGGCCTAATAATCTTTAAATCAGCCGATATTTGTACAGGTAGCATGATCCTACCTTATATTTTTTTTACATTATTTCTTTTTTTCGATTGATTTTATTTTGGCTAGATATGATCTTTTAATTTTGTTCTATATTTGTTATTCTCAAGGGACTGTGTCCCAGAATAAAATTATTTTTCTACCTATCTATCCAACACTCATTTTTTTAATATAAAAAAACCTGTGCCACTGCAATCTCTGAAGGGTCATGGATTCAGTACTATGTGAGGAATTCACAAGGCCTACAGTTGTGCATAGAGGTGATTGGGCCAAGATCACACTCAACCGCCTGGTTTTCCGGCTTAATTCAATATTTAATTAAGCCTACCCGTTTTATAAATGCTGGTTGTGTTAATGGAGGGTCTCCTGATCCCAGGGTCGACCCACGACTAGTCATCAGCTGGAATTGAATCTGGGTCCTTGAGCTCTGAATTTCAGTCCCACCCACTGAGCTACCCCAATTTAAAACACCAAAAAATAACCTATCCTCCAAAAATGCAATCTTAAGGGCCAAATTACCTTCACAAACTTCACCACAGATCAATCCCAAACATCCTGACTCATCCCAATCTTCCTCGTAGATCAATCATTCTTCAGAAACTGCATTAAATGTGGAACATATTCAAAGATCCCATAAGAGGATCCTACCCCCACCTAGGCAGGTTCCTCCACCACAGAACACTTTCTACTGCTATCCCAACCATAATCCAACCGATATAGTATTAGTTCTTACATCCTTCCTAAATGATCTTCAAGATACCATCAAAGCTCTCATCACACTCCTTAGCTGAATCCTTACAGAAATACCGTTCAATACCTTACGATGAGCAGTAAGATCCCAGTTATCCTCTTGTGGAATGGTTTACAGAATCATCAATACGAACTTGACATTTTTCTTTACAAAAATCTTATAGACGTAGCCTTAGTGACTGAAACCCATTTTACATCACATACACACTTTCACATACCTGACTACATCACATACAGATCAGGTCATCCAGACATCCCATACATACATCGCATGCAGGTTCCAGGTTCTTGTATCCTTATTCATAAATCCATAGCTCATTCCGTGATCCCTTCCACTCCATCAGACAATATCCAATCAACCTCTATAATATTATCCTCTCGTTCAGTGAATATAATATTATCAGTTGTGTACTGCTCGCCTGGTAACTCCCTTTCCATTATTGATCTTGATTCCTTTCTCCGATCCTTTGGTCTGCACTTCATTACTTGGGGAGATTACAATGCCAATAATAATACTTGCCCGTGTCACATCTTCCAATAGTTATTCCATTCTGCCTCCTAACTTATTACCCTACTTACTGGCCTACATCTCCCAAGAAACGACCTGACATCCTTGATAAATTTGTTACTTCCCAAATACCTTCATTTCAATACAATATCAAATCCTTAAACGACCTTTCATCAGACCACTCTCCGGTTCTGCTTCTCATACATTCAAATCCTATTCCTAAACCCTCTCCTACATCACTGATTATAGGACAAGTAAACCGGCACAACTTTCAGCATGACCTACAAAATAGTCTGGATTTAAACATTTCGTTAAAAACTAAAACGCAGATTGATTCAGCTATTTAAGAATTCAAAAGAACTGTACAAACAACCATTAATAACAGCACGTCACAACCCAACATTAGAAATCACTGAGAAAGCATTTTTTCTTATCATCTTAACGTACAGAAAAACGACGGGCAAGAGCCAAGTGGCATAAAATCAGATATCCATCGGATAAAATTCTTTACAATAAATTGACAAACAAACTTAAAATAGCAATCAGAAAACACAAAATTCAAAATTTTCAGAACTTTACAGAAAACCTAACTACCAATGACAAATCATTATGGATAACCACCAAAAAGATACTCTATTTCAAAACCTTTAGCCATCCTCTCCTCACTGAATCCCAGACCTGGTCAAGATCCGATGAAGAAAAGACTCAAATATTTGTTTAAAACACCTTTTCAAAACCTTTTAAGCCTCATCCTGATATCCTCAATCCTACCCATCTTGAACATGTTGAAGCAGAACTTACTATCCCTTGCCAAACGTCACTAACTCCTCCTAAAGCATTCCATCCTTCTGAAATATTTAACAAATTCAGAAATTACCGTCCACAAAAGCTTCTGGTCACTATATTATCACCCTCCGAATCCTAAAGCAACTTCCTCGAAAAGCTGCCCTTCTTCTCACCTATATATATATATATAACGCCGTACTTAGAACCATCTATTTTTCTGATCCTTGGAAATTCCCCATAGTAAAAATTATTCTAAAACCAAAAAAGCCACCTGGATACCCATCCTCTTACCGCCCTATCTCCCTATTTCCCATCATAGGAAAAATACTAGAATAACTTATTGTAAAACGCCTTTACCCAATCCTAGACTCAAATTACTTGATTAAATGCTCTAAACTTCCAATATTCTACAAAAAATTCATTTACACTACCATCATCAGGCCCATTTGGACATACGGTAATGAGCCTTGGGGCTCTACAAAAACATCAAATTCTTCCTGTATCCAATCCTTAACATCCAAAATCCTCCATAAAATCCTAAATTTTCCTTATGATGTAACAAATTAAATTACCCATAAAGACCTCAACATTTCTTTTGTGGAAGACTTGGCCCGAACTAGATATACCTCTTTTCATTCCAAATTCTTTGGTCACCCCAATCCTCTAGATTATAACCTTTCATCCAACCAATTTTTGACAACCCTCCCAGGCATCTGAAAAGAAGATGGCCAAGGAACCTCCTAAATTAATTTATCTTTGAAGTATTACCAATGGGTAGCTTCTTCACAAGTACCTTTATGCAACATATTCCTATAGCACATTTACTGGTTGTATATATGTTTACAGTTGTAAATTTCAACAAATTAAAAATAAAAAATAAATCATAACAAATAATGATTATAAAGGTGCTATATTTTACATACACCCAAACTAATTTTGTTATTATGTCAGATTATAATAGATCAATGAATTATGTGACAAATAGAAAATATTGGAATATTGAAATGATATAAATGTAACTCAACTATTTTATTATATTCAAATATGGACAAGAAACAATAATAATAATTTACCAAATTCTCACAATTTCCTCCCAATTATAATGAATGCCTGGTCTGGAACTTTTTCGCTGCATTTATCTTACTTTTACCCTACTTTTATTTCTCTTCAATAAAAATTGACTGTTTTATCACAGTATTTTAATTAATATGTTTCAAAATAAGTACCATCATGTTATAATTCATTTTATTTTTTGAATTAAGATAAAATAATTGAAAAGAGAAAATAAATATTTTATTTAACCTAAAAATAAAGTAATTGCTATATATATTGATAAAAATGTCAAAATTTGTCACTTTTGAAATACTGCCGCCAAGGGTGTGTGACCACTTTTCTCCTAACAAGTTCCAACTATGGTCAAGGCTTCATATAAGTGTGCTCATTTGTGTGACAGTGCCCAAGCCAACATGATCATACATAACATAAACATTTACCCGTGTGACTGTTAGGTGACAAAACAGTTATTACTTTATAGTTGAGAACAAAGTGGAGATAATTTTTATATTTATAGTTGCTTGAATGAGTTGTTTTTTACACTTCTGAACTGAGATCAACCAAAAATTGCTTTCTCTCTTAAAAATACAACCACATGCAAGTGCTTGGTCTGTCAATGTATAAATCTGTACTGAACTAACAAGTTTTTTAACTTGGCGATTTACCCTCCTAACAGAATCATCATGAAATTTCAGAATAATGAAACATCAGTTTTCATCTGAAAACTGAGAGCACAGGTTTCACCTTCTTCAATAGATTATATTTTATTTCCAAGGTATCCATTAAAGATGATCATGGAACATTGTGAGGGTTTACTCATAATCCTAACCCACTAAGTATTTTTTCAATGTATTTCATTATTCTCTCTCCAGTTTCAACATTGTGAGTAGTCACCAACTGAGCAGGAAAACCTGTAAGGTAAACAGGATCATGGTTATAATATAATGCATGCTCATATTCTTGAGTGACTTCTAGATGACATAGTTTCATATTAATTTAATTATACATAGACTACCTATCTAATAAAATCTAAAGAGTGCCTGGAAAAGTGGCCCAACCTGTGGTGTTTAGCTCGATAAATGGATAGGGCAGGTTTTGTTGACCCTTGAATCTTCTATTATGAAGATATATAGCAGGCCTTCCTTTAAAATACACTTGGCTTCCCAGTGACATCAAAATATAGCCATGATCAATTTTCATAAATTTCATAGTATCACATCCAATTACATGATTGCAGAATATTCCTGTTTGTTCCTCACATTTCTTATGATTGCACTGGTGGTTTGTGTGTTCATATCATACCCTGGTTGCCTGAGATTTTTAAATTATTTATACTTAAAATTTTCCCATTTAATGTCCAACAGATTGATGTTATATGGGAGAGAAATATTCTAGAAAATATAAATGAACAACCTAAGACATTGATTTCAAATAATAAACTACTGTATGGAGTTTTATATATTCTTGCTATATCCATTTTATCTATTATTGGTACTTCTTCATGATTAGTACTTACTTTATGGCCCACATTTTTGTTTACACAATATCAATAGAAACAAGAAGATGGCTGAATCATGATATCACCTGAGGTAAATAAAAAACTACACTGACAACCATTTATAGAAAGAAAAGACAATATTAAGAAAACTGAGCAGTGATTGACTTCAAGGTATGAAATTGAGAATGACTCTAGAGAAGCTAGAATGGGTTTTCCCTCAGGGGTTATAGATGGGTTTTTCTTCATGGATCATGACATCGTTGTCAGAGTTAGAGATTACCTAAACAGACCATGCACTGCGCTGGCAGGAGATCATAGAAGAACTACTGTTGATACAAACAGAAGTTATACTCCAATAAATCCCAGGACACTGTGAACTGCATGGTATTGACATGGAAGAAGCTTTAGCAAAAGAGGAAGCTATAAAAGTTCAGATGGAGAATAAGTTAACATACCATAGAGCAAAGAATTATATAGAAAAATCAACAAAATAAACTACTTGAGGAGCAGACAAGTGCTCTGCAAATCACAAACAATGAATGGGAGGTGTTACTTGAAGAACACGGGGGAATCTCAATCCATGAGAAACACAGTTGCAGAATTCAGAATGATCACCAACCATGATTATTTAAATAAAGCTTTATATAAAATAGGTATAGCGGAATCCTCTAAGTGTTATCTCTGCAACAATGGGTTTGCCATCGATGAGACGCACATTAAATCATTATCTGGTCTGTCGGAATTACGAACACTTAATTTCTCAAAATCAGATATTTACTAGGCTATTAGAAGACTCACAGGAGAAGCCATAAGATTAAACAGAGTTATGGTTAAAGAAACAATGTTTACAAAATGTAATTATTATAAAATAAAATGATAATATTTAATCTGCATTAATTCAAAATTTTATTATTGCCTAATTTCTTTTATTATGAACGTTTTTTCTCTCTTATTCCAAGATTGTATTATTCTAATACATTCTCACATTCTAGTTCTCCAATAGAATTCATTTCCATTGTTATTTATTCTCATATTCAACCTTCTCTTTCGCAATTCAGCTTTAGAATCGGTTCCAGCAAAACTTGGCCTTTTATAGGGAGGAATAATGTGACGAGGGACACTAAGTTGTGGGATTTTCTTTTTTGGAAGGTATGTGCTGATCTGGGATCGTGATTTGCTTTCTAACAAACTTTCTAAAGCTATTGATCTTTGCTTAAGTTCTGTCAATATCAATTCAGTAGACTCTTCAATTGATTTTTGATTAAATTCAGGATTACTCTTGATGTCATTTTCTGACTGATCTTCATCCTCACTTTCCTAAAACATATTTTATTATCATATTTGCATTCGTTATTATTTTATTTTCCATTGTTTTCTTAACAAATAATCAAAACAGAGTAATACTACCGTATTACATAGTATAAAGATTAAGTGAATAATTTATATAAATAAATATTAAAAATCTATTTTATTTAATATATATCTATAAGTTTTGTTATTTTATCAAAAATTCAATTATTATTAATTTAAATTAATTCTATCTCAAAAACAAATTGTGGTGTGAATTATAACAAATAGCACTATTCTATATTGTGCCTATTGCCCTTAAGTTTGGTGAAGTGCATAATTTAACAGTAAAAAAAAAACTTTACCTAAGCTAGAAAATATATTTACAAAAATAATCATTTCTAGATAAACTTTATAAGGAATTTTTCTTTATATTATTAAAAAATAAAATTAATAAATAAATCTTTGAGGGCTTTGCAATCGAAGCCCTCAAAAGGCTTTGCAATCAAATAAAATTCAATATTCCATTATTTCTAGTTGAAACATTTGATACTATATTAATGAATTGGTCACATGAAGACTTTTTATTTAATAACCACATTTTTACAAACTAGTTATATATTAAGGATAAAGCACAACAAATCGTTATCCAAGATGCTTTATACAGTTTAATTATAGTCAGTTTTCTAGATATGAAATGGTTTTGTTCATCAACCTCACTGGCAACAGGAAAAATAAAAATTTACACCAAATACTTACATCAAAATATTTTATTTATTTGCTAAATGTACCTATATGATAATAATTACAGAATATATTAAATTTGGATATGACATTATTAATATTGTTTATTAAGAATATCCATACCTGATTCTTAAGATTTTATAGAACTGGTGGAACCTAGTGGAATTTTGTTAAGGTACTAGTAAAGGACCACCAGACTTGAATGCACAAAGCAAGAAATCTACAGGACATAAGCTGCCAGCATTGACTTAATCATTCGGATGTTAGAGAATAACCATTGCATCCTCTTGGTCTATGCCAGGAGCATGCAATTGACAGCAAAAACAAAAAAAATCTTTCTTTTTTAATATCTTAAGTCCGAACTGTCAACAATCAAGAACTGACTGAATAATAAATTATGACAGTATTATTTATTATCAACGAAATTCAAGTATATGAATAGTATTTATCTTCCATTAAATGAAGCATTCAAAAGTTTTCATTTATAAGTTTGAATAAAAACAGAACTAACCTCTTCACTTGAATTCTTTTCAGTTAAAGCTGAGTCAGGATTGGGTGTTGTTACTACCTCTTCATCTATTTTATTCTTAGAAATATTGTCCTCTTCTCCTTTTTCATCAACCTCAACAGAAATTTTATAAAATGATTAACTTTGTTTAAAAATTATTTTAATCATTAAGAACCTAATGAAGTGGACTTAAAATATTACCTGCTCAGATCCATCTGATTCTTCAGCAACAGTCTCATATATATTCTCATTCTTTGGGAAAATTTTATCTTTCGACAATTTAGAGACAATGATATAGTTTGTCTTTTTCTCCTCTTCAAACTTACTAAATATAGTATACATCTGAGGACACAAAATATTTAAATTATTCCATCCAGGAACTCCTCTGAAGGAAATATTGTAAAATATAACTGATATACTGTTTTTTACATATAATACAAAAGCTAAGCATGACCTTACTGAGTACAATGTTCAAAATGGCAATAAAAGCAAAAATCTGAAAGAAGTATAACTAACAGCTAAATTAGCCACACAAAGAGCAGAACTAATAAAATTAATATCAATATTGTGAGAGCTATCGATTTTTGAGCAGCATACAGCATACTCAGGTCAGAAGGACTCTTATCAAGGTTTTTCCTGTTTGGATCTCATATCCAGTCTAGGAATGTTGATTTTTATTTAAATATCCTACAAAACAAAACTAGATCATTTTACTATGACTAGAATAGATCAGTAGTTTGATAGCTCATCCTTCATATCTTTGTGAATGAGAAGTTTAAGTGAATTGGGACCCCAAACCATTTTTCCTCTTTGAACATCACATTTATGAATAGAAAGTTAAAACTTCCACTTCTACATGTTTTTGGGTATATAACACAGGTAATGGTTTGGTGCAATTTATATGGAGCTGAGTAGATGCCCTGCATTTAAATATGGCTATACCAGTTGCCTTTACGAGGTCTAATTTTTAAGGTATAACATTTCAGTAAAATTAACACTATACTATTTTTATTTTAATTCCTTGATGAAATTAACATCAAAACATGATGTACAATACTAATGGCCATATGACTGATGCCCTGTGGGTGAATGATATATGACCGGGAGTCCTTTTCATGGATGAAAAGTAATTCATTAAGATATTTTGTTAAGAGATAATAGAATATCGAACAATTTATCATTTAAGGAGCTATTTAATTTTTGGTAAGTGTGTGTCCATGAAGAACGAATCATGTTCGTTTGTCAGTAGATTAAATATAAGTATTAGTATAAATTATAAAAAGGGTGATCGGTGTTGTGCCATAAATGATTAGTCTTGTTTTACATACACAGCCACTAGTCGCTTCATTAAGTGCCACCCTACTTATGGTCAGCTTAGTGACATTTCCTATGGTCAGTTATAGCGGATGGGCTGTTGATAGTGATCACACAGTTCAGGTCTAAGATAGGGAGCATTTAGTTCTCTGGCTTCGTGCTGATGATTGAGAGAAAATGAGATGGAGTGCTTATGGGTTACCTGGACACGCAGCAGGGTTAACCTGTAAAGGTTTTTGTCACATAGCTAAGACTAGACCATCCCAAATAATTAGCAAGAAAGAAAATCATTAAATACTTATAAAATTAGGACATGAATCTGACACATGGAATGTATTATATTTTTAGGATAGCAAATTCTTTTCACTAATATGACAAAAGGTCATTTTAGTATGTAGTTTCAGTCAATTTTTGTTATTCAACCATGAAGATATTAAGCTTCTTTTAAAAGGATGAGGTATCTGGTTTGATTATTTAATTCAACCTGGTTGAGTTAAATGGAAAATGCAAATTTTGAGAAATTGGTTAATCACTCTAACAAGTACTATCATCTTCATTTGTAACTATACTCCTCCTCACAGAGTTCAGAAAATAGGCAATTGTTAAAATTGGCACTACCTCTGAGTGAGGAATTAGGCCTCTAGCAGAGATAAATCAGGACAGTTAAATGGTTGTCTTGATTGGTTTCATTACTATTTAATAAGCAGAAACATCAGTTATCGAAGTGGTGTTTGGTTTCTCTCCAAATTCTTTTCTCATGTTCTCTCCAAATCTCTTTCTCAGTTTCTATTATGGTAAATGTTCTGTAGTACTAAATTTAAAAACAATATCCCGTTTGGATAATTACATGATTTGTCAAGAAAAACAATTTATAATGAATAACCAAAAGATTTGAACATAAAACCAAATTACAAATTTAAATACATCTTTAAATATACCACACATCAGGAGCACAACTTAAACTAGTTATAGCCACAATTGGAATTAGTAAGGCCATTACTATTGCAGCAAGAAGATCTATGATTAAACATGGGTTAAAACAGTAAACAAATCAGTTGATCCAGCAGCACTCCCATTTTGTGAAACAGGAAACCACTTTGTGTATATTTCATCATGTGGCTTATACACCATATGAAAAAAAAAAAAACACTTTCTGAGTTGTGCTCCTTCCTTTCTTGATGCAGAATATGCATCTATTCATAGTGGAGCATAGTCATCTAAGTTTATTTTATTTATTACATCGCTGCTGGAGAATAAAATCCAAGCAATTCAATCACATGGCCAATAAGTGTGTTTTAAGTTTTTGTAGAAAGATTTTACTTTAACAAATTACTTGTTTTATGCCAAGAAGAAAATGAGATTCTTTTTGCCCAGTAGATTCACCTGTTCATGAAGGTCAACTAGTTCTGTCTCTGCCACATTAATTCTGTTCCCCCAGTCTTTGGTCCTTTCTTCAGATTTCCTCAATCCATACTCAATATTTTCTAACCTTTTTTTGATGTTTTTTATATCATCTAAAACAAGAATAAATATAAATGTTTTATACATTTATTTTCTTGACTGTTAATAAAATATCAATAATTTGGAGATCTTGAAATTCAGTCAATAAATACACAACATTTGGCCAAGATTTGAGACTTTTTGCTGTCATATTCATCCCCATATTGAAAAGATGATTTACAAACAATTTTTATTAAAATAAGTTTTAAACACTAAATTGACTGAAAATAAGAACACTAAATAATCAAGTTTTATATATAATACTTTTATATATAGAGAGTTTTATATATAAGATCCCTTTTCTGGCTCTCAGGAGGATGAATTTTGATGTATGAAGTAACAAATGAAAGGAAATTTCATAAAGCAGTGAAGAACTAAAGTCTCATCCTCCCAAATTGTTGTGAAGAACAGTTGTGAAGGAAAAAACTTTATTTGTGAATAACTCGAAAAGTATACATTTTTTTTCTTGATTAGTCTCATGATTATTTGTATGTTTACTGATTCCCAACAAAACAAAAAAGAAATAATCGAATTCGATTAGAAATTGGAACAATTTGTACCCAATAAAGAAGCAAAGTGTGTTCAAATATTTTGGTAAGGAGAAACAGAGTTGAAATTTGTATTTTGCTCTTCAAAAGACACTCAAATCAAACTTTCATTATAATCCAAAAATAAAAAAACATTTATACTAACTGGAGCCAAAGCTCACTCATTGGATTTTTTTTTTAAATCACAAAAAGTGTGATAACTTCAACATGATTCCACCTACCCACACAAAATTTAGCAAGAATTTAGAGTCACATAAACTGCACAAAATGACATAAACTAGATCCCTATAAACATATTAGAACTGGAGATATAAAATAAAAAAGTCATTAGTTATATGATTTTGAAGAGCAATAATAGCATTGAATTAGGAGAAAATCCTAATATTCTTTCGGAATTATTTGCACGAGCCAACTAGTAATAAATAAGTTATTCCGTATTGTTGGAGGGTGCCAAAAGTATTTTATACACCTGACCATAGAAAATAGATTTACGAAAATCCTAGGGCCAATAGAGCTAAATACTTGGTTGATGAAAATCCTGAAAAAAAAATAAATCACAGACATACAGATCGTAACAGTAAATAAAAGTTCGCAAAGGCTATTGACGTGTTTTAACAGAGTTTAAGAGAAAGAGTGATGCCAAAGTACAATAATTAAAAAATAAAATGGGTATTTTGTGTCTTCTCGACAAACACATGAAGATGAACAATTTTTTTCTTCTTACAGTAGCCAAGTGATGCACTACAGTAATGCAGTGGATGCTTCAGAGCTTCCTTTCATGCTCTTGACAGATGTTTGTACCAAAAATCCAACCTCCTCAATCACAATGTTTATCATATTCTGAATTTGGTCAATTATTTGGGACCTCTTGTCAGTTCCAAGCATTTCACTATCCGTCTTCATAATTTTTCAACCTACTTTTTCATCCATAGAGGGTCCTTACAAAGTGTGCAATTAGGGTAACCCATCTCAATCTGACATTAAAATATTAAAAGTAAATGTTACTGCTTATGGCATTGGATTATTGTCCATGGCATAAGAAAAGAGATCATATCTGCTAGGGGCTGAATATAACAATGTAGTGAGGATTTTAGAGGGTGTGGCTCTTTAAAGAGAACAGTCTCGTTAATCAAAGTTCTTAACTTAAGGCTGTTTCTGTTTTAATGCTAATTTCAAATGATATAAAAGTTGATTTTTTCATGTTCTCATGAAAATCTGGAATTTATTATTTGTGATTATATGATATTTATTTTTTACAGCTAGCAGTTTATTTAATAATACTTTAAAGTGAATATGGCCCTCTCTCACCTAAATCAAATATCAAAAAAATATTTGCCAATATAACATTTAATGGAAAACTTACTATCACTGTAGGTTGGAAGCTGAACACTGATTGATTTATCACTGGTAGATATCTTAGGAGGTTTAGTAACATCATTTTTCGGCACTGACAATAATTCCATTATTTGTCCTTGCTTAATTGATAATGAATCAATGCTATCTTCACTTCTCTGGCTTAAATTTTCTTTAAAGATTGCATTGTTAACAGTTAGTATTTCACAGTTTTTTTCATAAAAGGTTTCAGAAAAATGTTTTCTTTTATTTTCATCCACATAAAAACTACTAGGGGTGGCAGGTAACCCCATCTGTAATTTACAAAACAATTATTATTTTAAAATAAAATTATAAAATTTTTAAATTAAATTAGATCTAAATCAACAATACACCAACTCTTCCCCAAGTTATGTAATATCAGGTTGGTGGCAGATATAATGTTTTGTATATTATAATATATATAACCTAATTTTCTAGCTTAACAACCTTCTGCTCCCCTCTCCAATATTTTGAAGGAATAAGAGTTTCTCTGACCTCTCAACGTTTCAGACATTTACTTAAATATAACTCTAAAAGTTTAAAAAACCATACAAGCAATAATTATATTATTTATTGATGACTCGGCTACTACTTTCTTGATTTATGTTCTAAGCCATTAGAACACATGCTGCTGCTTGATATCCAGGTTTCTTAAAGTATTTATTACTTAAGCCTTGTATTACTCATTTTATTCCTCAGGCGAAATAAAAAACAGATGAAATGAGTAAAATTCTCTCCACAATTCAAACCACACTTTTGTATTAGTTCTTTCTTTTACTTTAGCCCATATACATCACAGGAATTGTTGGTTTATTATTTATGCCATTAGGATGGTATATAAAAATTTACTACATTTGACAAGATCAAAATCAATTGCATAATCACTATACTAAATCACTTTAGTTCTTTTTCTATATTCCTTATTCTTAACCTAAAGATTTTTTTTTTCTAGGTTGTTTGTCTTTTTCTTAATAAACAAATGGTTGGTGCAGTTTGATTAAAATGTTGAATACCGTAATACTTAGGCTTCCTTATTTATAAACAAAAAATGCATTATAGTGTAAGTACTTTTTATATAGTTCAATGATTATTAAAGCTATTTCTAAAGTTTTCGGTTTTAGGCCTAATATTTTTAAGCGACCTTTTGATACTAAAACCTAAAATTTCTTTAGATTTTTATACTTACAAATTTAATTTTAATTTTTTTTTAATGACAACAAAATAGAAAATTCTTTTTAAAAACTAGAAAAAAAAAAAATGATTCGCAGAAGCTTAAAGGCTATTATTGAACTCCCTGCGAATACTTCCACGGCGATGTTGTATACCCTCAGAATATACCGAGGATTGGGATTAATGCACTGCCAATGGGAGGCTCCTCTTCAACATTGGTCCATTGCTCAGCGACTGTCAAGTGTACCAGATGCCCTTTTCCAATCTATCCTCGATTATTCGGCTGAAGTTACTGAATGTGCTAAGAGATTGGGGGTTGATTAGGGTCATCGAAATGTGAGAGCTCTATGGCCGTTGCTACAAGAAAATTCATTTGAAGAATGGGCCAACTGCAGGTGGCAGAGTATTGGTGTTCGCCACTTTAAAGAGACCCCGACAATGAATAGATACATCTTCAAAAAGCAAGTACTTTCTGGGTCTGAATGGTCGAATGCCCTAAAACTAAACATTAATTATGCACCTCTGCGTGGAGTCCCAGGTCTCAGCGGACAGGTTAGAGAAGTTGGGTCCCTCTGCCGTCAATGCGGCAGATAGTCTGAAACATCAGCCCGTGCTGGGAAAATGCCCCAACAACTCCCTCCTCATAACACGTTGTCACCATAGGGTCAAGTTCGAGTTGATGAGGCTCCGTAGGGAAACGAAATTCACCTGCTTTGACGAGGTATTGTGCATTGATAGTGAAGGCTCTACGGATATTGTCGCATTTTCCAAAACAGGAAGGACAGCGCTGATCTTGGATCCAACAGTCCGCTTTGAGAGCAATGACCTCGATCAGGCGGGTGAAGTGGAAAGGGAAAAGAAGAACACGTACGATAAATGTATCCCTTTCCTAAAAGATAAATTCCGTGAGACGTTCAGAGAGAGAGAGTTCACCGTGAGAGGCCTCTGGTTTGGGTCTCGCGGAACTATCCCAAAAAGAACAAGGAGCTTCCTCGAGGAACTAGCTGTCGATATTAAGGACATAGCAAGGTTGGCTGAAAATATAGTCCTTGACTCCACTGGGAATCATTCACCACCACGTGCATGGCTAGGCTGAGAGTTTTAATTTATGTATTTATTTAATGAAAAATGTCTATTTATATTTGGTTCATATTAAATTTTATTTAATTCTAGATATATACACTCTTGTTTTTTGTTATTGTGGTATTATAATTTTAAGCATCTTAATATTGTGTATAGGAGAGATTAATAAAGAAAGAGAAATGAGAGAAAGCGAAATTAAATTTAAAAAAGGGTAAAAAAAAGCATGAACAATGAAAGGAAAAAAAAATATACATATATTTATTATACTCATATAAACTAACCACTTCTGTATATTTATATATAAATATACAGAAGTACTACGGATTAATGAGTATGCTGTGTGTATAGTAACCCAATATAATTGGGCAGCAAGCTTTTATATTTTATATTATAACTAGTTTGTTTTCTGCAAATTTTAAAAAACAAGTACGTAGGACATGAGTTATTTATTTTAAACAGTGTTTTAATGTCTATCCATGCAGCAGCAATACTTACTTTTAGAAAATCAAATAAAACAGTAAATACCCTTAAAAAGTCTGTAGAGTTAGTTTCTAGTTTTTTTAAAGGTAAACCCTGAAATTTGCAAAATGCTTCTTTAAGTTGTATTTAATTTTTAGATTTGCCATATATTTTCATAAAACGAAACATTATCATTCTTTAAAAAAAAAATCTCTTTTCCTCAAGTTTTTTTTCCTATTTTCCCTCACCTCAAATGGTCCTGACCCCTAAAAACTGGCTTCCAGGGCAAAGTTTCATTCAATCCTTTGGTAAATCAGGCCTTGTTCTTAAGTCTTACTTTCAATATTTTCAGTAATATATATGTATTTACTTAGAGACAATTATTAAATAAAAAAATTCAACTAATTTGCAACAGCGATTTAGCTTAGTGTCTTGAGCATTGACAATGCCAACAAATGCCACATGTTTTCTAATGAAATCCTGCCTAAGACACAAAATTTTCTTTTGTGAGAAATCAATGGGATACAAGTGATACAAGGGATGGGAAACAAGAGAATAAACAGTATTTCAGTATCCATTCTATTTATTCTTCAAATGAGTCCAAAGATATTCAAGGAATAAATCAGATTCTCGAGGAGCTAACTTGTTATAATAACTAATTCATAGAAATGCTCAGCGTTTTTTTTATATGGTAGCTTGGCAATCATATAAAAGAACATATTAATCCAACAAATAATACGGTGTTAACCAATTTCAATAGACCTTAACATCAAATATTATTTACTTTTATGGAACCAAATTTGAATTTACATTAATATATAAAATGCAGCATATAATTTTAAAATATTTATTATATTATTTAAGAAGTTAGTAAGTAGGGGGGCAGTCAACCAACTTATCTTCAATTTACTTCTATGATCACTTATTTCTACATCTTTACTTATAACAAAATAATTTTTAAACATGTAATAGTAAATCAATACTAGTTTAAAAAGTAATGTATCTTACTTTGCTAATACTCTTGTTCTCTAGTAGAGTGCTGTAAAGGTTTTTTGAGTTACCCCAGTCTAAATGCTCCAAACTAGTCATAGAAGGGGAAAGACTTACATTTTTGATGACATCTATGGAAGATTGAGCTGGAAACATCTCATCATTAAATAAGTTTGGTAAACAAACATTCCTAATTGACTTTTCTTGTCCTGCTTTATTTAATTGGGCTAATGAAACACTTTTACTAGCATTCTCAGGAAATGAATCTTGGCTAGCAATTAAACCAAGATCTTTACAATACACAACTTCATCTTTAATTCTGATGTCAAAGTGATGTTTTGAGTCATCCTTGTCAATTTCTTCAAAATAACTGAATTCATCTTCTTCTTGTTTATAATGTTTTATCTTTTTGTTAAACTTTTGTAGACTATTCTGTGGATTTTCTTTACCTCTTTGTTTCTTCACAGATAAAAACTTTAGTGGTAAGATAAAATGACACACAACCGAACAGAAAACACATGAAAATCCTAAAGCTATAGGCCATATAGAAAACTCATAAGTTTCATAAGATGTAACAGATTCCACAGGTTGATTTCTTTTCTCTACTTCTCGTTTCACTAAAATATAAATACAATTTAAAATACTAATTTTTAGAATTATATAATTTAGATTCCATTAAATTTCATCTTACCAATCAAGAGCTCATTTTCTTTTTTTGAATTGATTTGATTTAGGCAAATATCAACAGTGTCATAGAACAAAACTAAGAAAAACGTTATTATTAAAATTTGAAGAACTACTTTTAGCATAATTAAAATTTAATACCACTAGATAAACATCATAAATCCATAATTAAAAATTTTGTATTACACATGTCAGATCATAGTATTTAGTGCATTTATGTATACAACAGGTGAACAAATGCAAGTAATGTTTGTAATGGAAAAAGGTTATGTGCTGTTCTCATTTTGCTTTCTTACATCAATTATTTATTTAATAAATTTAAAGAAAAATGAGTAGGATATAAGTTGGCATGGCAGATAAAAGTTTGTAAGCTATCAACTTATTTTCCCTAAAATAAATTAATAAAAAGGTGTTCAACTAGATAAATGATTAATAACTTATTGTTATAATGCATCAAAGAAAATAATGGTAAAATATAGATAAGTTAAAGGTTTGTGTTTGAGAATAAACTGTTTAGTTTGATCAATCAATATTTTGGTTCAAATTTTAACATGTCTTTCCACAGAAGGTGGTATTGGTTACGGAGAACTAAAAAGGAAAATCATCCTTACATTAAGTGGATTTAATTAATTTTATTACATTTTGGTAATGGTATTAAAATAAAGGTACAAAGTTCGGAAATGCCTAGACTATTTCGGACCAGAGGTGGATTTATTTTTGAGGTTCCTTTAAAAAACTTTAATTTCCATTATAAAAAGTATTATGATATTTATATATTTCAGTTAAATAATTACCCAACTGAATATAAATATTGAGGCATTCCTAAAAGAAAACATCTAAATAAAAAAATATGTATTCATCCTTTTTCTTTAGGCTTGTTAATAAGACTATCTTTTGATGAAAGCATATTAATATGATTAGTTAATTAAATCAACAATGAGAAAATACCACTTAAAACAAAAAAAAGTTATTATCGGCATAAAGAAAAATGTTCGTAATTTTTAGCAATGAAATAATAATTTAATTTTAAAAAAGTCTCTTGCTGTGTGGTCCAAGTGCCAGACTATCTCTCTTTTCCTTCTCCTCTCAATCTTCATAGGGAATCCACTATGGAATGGACATAAACATATCTGCTTTAATGTTAACAAAAAAAAAAGTTTAAGTAATCATTTATAAAAGTAAATAAATCTTAATGTAGATTATATATGAAAAACAAATCTGTAGCACACATCACACAATTTTCACTTACCATACTACATTGAGTAGGAATTATTTTATGGCTTGATTAGGTTATTACAAAAATTTGTTTAAGTGCATTTTTAATAGATCTAAATCTTAAAGAACACTTTTGTGAACATTTATCAATGCAATAACAAATTAAGATCATCAGAATAATATAAGCTGTATTTATTACGTCATGGTGAACAATTAAAACCAGCACCGCCAGTATATTTGAACTACCTACAACTCAAACAACCAATCAACTCTCATCTCTGAGCACTATATATGATACAAAGGAGGATTTGAAAGTACTTATCATTGATTTATTGCTAAAAGTCATTAATTGATAATTTATAACCTTAAATGAGAAAGAATTTTGATGAATTTTCTGTTGGAGAAATCAGAAATTTTTATACTTGTAGTAACGGTGTTTGTCATTAAATATATTAAAGGGTGTGGGTCATTTTAGTTCACTTGTTATATTTAATTGATTAATAAATTGAAATTCACAAAAAATTTCTTAAAAGTTCAGTTCCACCACAAAATGTACTTAGGGACTTTTTGTATTAAACCGACAGTATGTACATTTAATATATAAATAATTTAGTACTGTATTATAGTAACTAAATCTGTATCAAAACGGGTCAAAGAGCGGAGGGAGGCAGCTTCTTCTTCAGGGCTGGCCTGTAGATTGGTCCTCCTTTTGCACCAGGGGAGTAGCCTAGAGGCTTGTGAACCTTAATGGGGAGATCTTAAGGAAGCTATAAACCCAAGACCATCCGTGTGTGGTAAAGAAACGAATTCTGCTCAAGGTGACTCTGCTTTTGATGGAACGTGGCAGATCGGGGGCAGGGTCTGGCCGAGCAGGCTAGTAGCGTGTGCACAGCACCGTGCTTTGCCTGGGAACCTGGCTTCTCAGTCATAGTGACAGCAACTTATCTAGGGAATCTGGCTCCTGATTTAAGCTAGGAGCCTGTTGTCCCAAGGTAACAGGGCCTCTTGGGCTGGGCCAATCATGCCTGAGAGTATAGCTGATTGGACAGTCTAGAAGGAAATGGAATAGATAGGAATAAGGTGGACTAGGCAGATAGGACTGGGCAATGAGCAATGACCACTTGAGGGCATATGGAGTGATGGATCCTCATAGTGGAGAGTGCTCTAAGAATGAAAGTGGACAGCGCCTAATTGAGTTGTGCGTTGAGAACAATATTCTTTTTGGAAACTTCTTTTTCTTCACAAGTGGATTCAAAAAATCAATTCCTCAGCCTCTGAGAGGAATGCAAATAGCATCATAGACTATTATATTTATAGCCATGACATCAGGAGGCATTTCACAGATGTGAAGGTGATTTAGAGGTGCAGAAATAGGAAATGACCTCATGCTTCTTGTAGCTGATACCCAGATGCTTAAGAAATGCCTTAATGCCTTTATAAAAAAAAAAGAATAGTTTTTAATTTACTTATATTTAGGTTTTTTTATTGTATATAGTTTTTATTTATTATTATTTAGTTATTGTTTTACTTTGTTATTTTTTTTTTTTTTTGTATATACGGTGTGAATGTGCTCATTTATCAATATAATTATTGTCCCTGTGACAGAATATTGTATGTCTAAATAAACAAATAAAAAAAAAATAAATAAAAAAAAAATTCATAAAACAGTACATCTGGAATCATACCTTCACAGTTAATTATTAAATTCATTGAATCATGTATTTAGTTTATTGTCAATAGTATTTGCACATGAAGATTTTCACATAAGTTGTTATGTTTATTAAACATAACAATAAAATAAGTTTTTTAGTAAAAGTTATTTTAATTCTACCACCCATTTATATCATGATGATCTAAGGTAATGTTAGTAATTAGAAAGCATGATAAACACAAACCAGCCTTTGAGAAAAGAAATTCAATTAATTAATCCTGGACAAATCAATATATATTACATTTAAATTTGTTTAACTATTTTTTTTTATTATTGAATTTTATTAAAGATTTCTGTATAATAATCACAAATAATTATCCAGTAGTATCCCGAATAAATTGCTCCCCGCATAACATAGCATCTTTAATATCATACATTTTGTGGGGATAAAACATAGCAAAAGTTATAGTAAATTATATACAGTTATAAAAACATGTTTCACCCATCCCAAACAGAGCATGAAATATTTTTATATTTCATTTCTTTTATCACATATTATTATTGTTGGCCCTACCAGGGATGCGTAGAAGATGGCTTCATAGTGCAAGTTGTATCATCAAAATTTTTGAGGGGAGCTCATTTTATAAGCTTTTGAATTTTTGAGAGGGGCAAATTTTGACAGGATTATGACATTTTGGAATGAAAAGCTTTAAATGAAAATACAAGAGGAATCTTGTAACAGACTGCACGAAGTGTAATAATATATAATATACGATTTTTCTAATTTAGTTTTGCTTGGACTGTTTTTAATAAGGGACAATACTTGAACAATAAGAGAGATGCTCCATCTGCCTTGGCTGCCTGAGTTCATAGGCTGAAGGCACATCAAAGTCTTTGATGGACTGAAGATCTGTGTCAACCCATTGTTCTGGAAGTTTACCCCACCACCCACGCCTGGAAGGAGGTAAGACAAAGTTCCTGTGATGCAAGTACTCACAGAGGGAAGAGGTCTGTAGTAAATACTCAACAGAAATTGTGATTAATACTACAAAGCAGTTCCTTCTCACTCAATGTAAGCAAAAAGGTCTTGTGCCAAAACAGTTACAGATGCATACATACCTATCCTCTTCCTACCTTGAAATACCATCATCGGGCAGTACAAGGAAGAAGTATCAAGAATATGTATGGATATATATTTATGTATATATTGTAATTGTACAATAAAATCGCTATAGGACAAGAAAAAAAACTATAAATAAAACAAAAATTACTGAAATAGGTAAGTGAAAGGGAAAAAAAACAAAACGTGTTTACTTGAAAAGTGAGAGTGGGATAATGTGTGGTTATGACATTTTATTAACTATGGCAATTATAAAAACTAAGTGTTTTTCAATATTTCCTTTTATAATAAATCATTTTGAAGAAAAGTTACTTTATCAAATAAAAATAATAAACAACAAAAATCAGATTAAGTATACTTAATTGGGTAAAAATTACTGTGAATACACATTTTATATTCTAATTAACAGGAATATTAAGTTGTATTATTAAATTTTAGTCAATTTAGAAATTTCATTTTTTTGAAATTAAAATTTTATTTGTTATACCAAACATTAAATATTTTATGTTACATATTTTTTTTATTATAAATAACACCTGTATCATAAATAACACCTTAAGTAATCAGCACATTACAATACACGACAGGTCACTGGAAAAATAAAATAAAACTTTTGTAATTATTTGTTTTAATACATTTTTGTTAAAAACCGTGGTACTGATTAGACAGAATTTCACAACTCATAACTTATTTTTTATTAAAAATTTGTTCGATGGGAAGTTCTCAACCAAATTCCTTGGTCTTCCTCTCCTTATTCTATTCTCTGTCACCCAACCGATCATTAGCTTAGATATCCTTTTTTTTTTTTCTCCCCATTCTCATCATCTTGGAGCTATATGGAGTTTTTCCTGGGCCAGGAGAGAGGGCAGGTGATTAATGATAGAGTTAAAAGCTTTCCTGGCACCAGGATTTGAACTCGTGACCTTTGGTTAATAAAGTTGCCAGATGTTTTACATATGGTGTTTGTCCGCTTGGCCTCCCCACCCCTGGAATCCTATTATTATTCATTTGTCCCATGTATCCATAATATTTGGTTCTCCTTTCTTCTATTACATGTAAGTCATTTTGTTTTACTTCCATTTTCTCCATTATGGTGATATTTGGAAATAAAAAAAATATATTCATGACATAAATAAAAAATCTCTCATTACTTTTTTTTATAAATCTGGATTTCAGGTAGTTCTCAAACAAACCCAAACAAACAAACAAAAACTCAAACAGAATTAATTGACATGAAATTAACACATGAACCAAAAGCTTATAAAATTGTAGTACTGCGTAATCTGTGGTTCTGTAGGATGCTGAGAAAAAAAATTGTTAAATAATGCTTGATTTTGGAAAAACAGAACATATATATATATATATATATATATATATATCAAAAATAAGTTTCTAGTAACATAATGTATACATAGATCTAATATTAATGAATTTGTTTACCTCTTTTACACATTAAACAAAGATGAATAATAGAATCAATGTTTGTTTTATTCTTACATTTCTTCAAGATACTTGAATTATGTAGTAGAACATTCATATTTTGATATTTTATTGCTGTTCATTGATCATTGGATAGAAATACTATGTAAATATAAACTACATATTCTTTCTGTTGATAGCCGTCTTTTCTCTGGTTTGGTTTAGGAGTTCATCTATATCCTGCAATTCATTGAAAATATGTGTCATATCCTTTACTTGAAAAGTTTCTTCAGGTTTAATTAGGTTATGTGATTTGAGTTTTTCTTTATATTTGTTCCTCCTAGAATGCTGCCGATGTTTAAGCTGTAAATAATAAAAAAATGAATAAATTTTATGACAAGCTACCAAATAATGTGGCCTAGCATAGACATAATAGTAAACAATAAAAATCAGATGCTGGCATGATTCTGGCTACTGATTGGAGGTTTATTAGTGTATTTATTATTATTATTATTATTTTGCTTTAACTGCAGAATAAACTTTGACATATCCATTGTACAAAAAAAAAGTTGAATATCAGTATTCCTGATTTTTCCATCATTAACTTGGGACAGTTATCAAAGACCATACTTAGGAAGATTGGAAAAGTGAGAAGGCCTTTAATAATTGGCCAAGGTATAATTGGTGGTAGGGAAGGATGTTAGGACCAATATTCTGTTTTTTTTTTAAGAATCTGAATTTTTTTAAGATGGGTGTTTTTACTCCCCGGTAGTATACCTATACCCCATATCCTATTTATTTGAAAATCGGTAGGCAGTTACATAAAGTTGAAAATCCTTATAATATGTGATTCTTAAAATAAGATTTTCTGATATGTATGTAACTATTACATTATGGTAAAACTTAATTGATAATGGCCATTTTTTTTTTTTAATTCAATAGTTAATATGTATATCAAATAAAATATAAACTGATTTTTTCTTTGTTGATTGAAGTTGACACTTAATTGAATTCAATTAAAGAATAATTTTGTTGTAGAACAAAGTCTCGAAGAACTCGAAAAATGAACATTTATGAGTGTCTTATGGCCTAGCAATTAGGTGGTTTTATGCAAAATAATTAGAAAAATTCAATTTAAATTTTATTGGAGGTTTGAGATTTAAGAAGGTGGAGAAATACTTGTTGTTGGAAGGAAGATAGGGCAGAGTTTTTGTGCATAGAGATAAGCAAGGAATCCCGAAAGAAGGAGATATGAACAAGAAAAAATTTGTCAAGGAAACAATTTAACGTGATGAAGTATAAATATGGATTGGTTAAAGTTAAAAGAGGGAATGAAAGATTGCTGGGTAAGAATTTTATAAAAATAGGAAAGTTTATTGTTTTCTTGGGTTTGGAATGGGTAAAAGTCAAGAAAATATTGCCTTAGGAGAGAAGACTAACACCTTTTTAACTAAATATAATAGCCAGATATATGGATGTGTCAGGGTAGAAGTGGGATGGCTAATACATATGCAGCAAAACATGTGATGCTAAATAAAAAGATAAATCTAATAAAACAGTTTAATTTAATTTCCCTTCACATACCAGTGCATCACCACCATAGTCAAAGTGAGAAAAATGAGAGAGGAGACAAGTTATTGATGCATTGTTAAAGACAAGAATTCACATATTTTAAAGAACTGTTTTATAATGAAAATGTGATTTTTGATATATCTTAGAAACATGATCTCTCAAGGATAGTTATTGCTTGGATGTGACTAAAGTTTTTGACATCCTTATGGATGAAAAGTAGGACAGGAGTGCTGTTGAAGAAAAGGATAGAATAATAAGAAAGTGGATGTATAACAAGTTTGGAATCATGGAGGATAGCTTTTGTTTTTTCTGTACTGAACTGAAACTTGTTTCTTATGGTCTAAGGAAGAATTCTATTAATATAATCATGTATTTTTTGTTATTCTTCAATGAGATCAGTAGGATGGAATGAAAGATAAATATCTTCATAAAGATGGTATCATGAGTGATGTAATAATTGGCTAAATCATTGATGTGAGTGTGTGAGTGGAGAAAAGATATAATGGAGGAGCCCTGGGGAATATCATGTGAGAGTAAAAGATGAGATAAAGAAGGATTATCAGAACTGACCACTTCCTGTGCACAATTGCATAAGAATAAACAGAAATGCATTGTTTTACTTTGTAAATTTGCTTTAATTATATAGCACCTCTTCAATGCCAAATCCATTTTAATTTAATGATGGAGCTTTCTTGCAAATTTTATTGAAATATGTTGAAAATTTAATTCAATTGTAAATTGAAAACAATTTATTAATAGATTTGTACTAGAATTTGCTAATAATTGTATATGCAGAAAAGAGTAATGATATTAGATTTAAACCTAAATTAATTAATTATTTTTCTTACTATTAAAGTAAGAAAGTTCATAGTTCATAGTCCTTATCATAGTTAACTTTTTTTTTCAGCAGAAAGGTGGTGGAGGAGCAAGAACCACAAGAGAATTAAAAAAAAAAATAATAATGAAGATAACTCTTTTTTTTTTTGGCGGGTTTTATACAACATAAGGAGTCATATCCCCAACACCCAAAAGCCACTACTCCCTGTCCACCCAATCTCCTTCACGGAGCCCTCTGGCTGCCATGTTTTCCTCCACGACCTCCATCCATTTCTTCGGCCTTCCACGCTTCCTTCTTTCAGGCGGCATATAGGTATAAATTTTCTTTGGCCAGCGGTTCTCATCCATCCGCATCAAGTGGCCATACCACTTTAACCGTTTGGTCCCGATCAGATGAAGGATGTTCTTTTGACATCCGACCTTGTCTCTAATAGCTGCGTTTGGGATCCGCTTGATTCTAGATATGCCACAGCTTCTTCTCCAGAAATCCATCTCCATAGAAAGCAACTTATTTTCCATCTTTTTTGTCATTGTCCAAACTTCTCATCCGTAAGTGGCTACGATTTCTACAAAGGAATGGTATATCTTCTTTTTAGTTTCCAATCTCATTTCTTTACTCCATAGGGTTGAATTTATCAAACTTATTATTGAATTTGAAATTGAAGATAACCCATAATTTTGAAAAACAAAAATGTCAATTTAATTTAGTTATATTATGTAATCTAAAACTCTGATTTTGATTCTTAGTAATAATCACAAAGTTCTGTAATTTTCATCATGTTTCTGAAACTTAAGCAAACTATGACATAACCCCTAATTGTCTTCTTAACAAGAATATCAACAAGTTATCTCATAGTTGAATACTCTATATATTAATGCTTTAATAATTTACAAAAAATAGTTTCACCTGAATCAGTTTTTTTATCTTTAAGTCCATTCTCAGAATGCTCCTGAAAATATTGTTGTGCAGTCTTTTTAGTGCCTGAAGTTCTAAATATATTTCTTCTAAAAATATCATATTTTCATTATTTCCTACAGAAATTTGAATCATTATCATATGCTTTAGTTGATAATGATTACTTTTACATTGGCACATTCAGAATTTTTGAGGCATAACTACGAAATACCACTACGAAAATGTTTTTTTTCAAATTGGAAAACGAATAATTAGTTGCAGGCAGTAGCGGATCCAGGATTAAATTTTGGAGGATTTCAGCGCAAAAGCTTTTTTAAATTTATATAATGATAACTAATTGGGAAGAAAAAGAAAGAAACTAACTAACTATGTAAAATGGTGTTTAGATCACTCTTGAAGTCCTATTAAAAACTTAATATATATACAATAATACTTTTAGAAATAATTTTTTTAGTATTTTTTTCATAAGACATGGTTATGTTTAGTACCTGTTTATGTATTATATTTAAAAAAATAGAATATATTTTGATTGTTTAATTAGCATAGATCACTCAAAGTAACTAAGACAAATGAACAAAAAAATAATTTTTCTATTTTGGGGGCTTTAGCCTTAAAACTCTCTCTCTCCCTCAATCCTATTAATCTGTCACTGGTCAGAAGATAAATTTTAAATAGAATCAAACTGGGAATTTATAGTAGATTGCTAATCATGTCTATTTTATTGATTCGAGCTGATATTTGGGGGTTGGTAGTGCCTAGGATGGTAGGGGTTCAATCATTAAAGTTTCTGATGTTAGAAAATTTGAGTTGAGTGCGATATTGTTTCATATCTTTACTAATAAAATAGTATACTATACCAATAATTACCCCCTATACTAAAATTATACTTTACAAGGTTGGTGAACTTTTTATGTTCCCTAATTCAAAATGATAGTAGAAATAAAAAATAAAAAAAGATGTAAATTGTCAAACACTGTTATTTAGTTGATGATGATAATGTTATTATGATATAAAGTCTACTTAATACTTCCATTTTTTTCTATAAATATTTACTAAGTGAGGGAGGAAAGAATAAAATTCTGCCAAATAAAATCATCAGTTAAAATTTATGTAAAAGTTGAACGTATAAGTGTTGTGTGCCATCCAAAATACAGCTTGTGCCGGTTGATATTATAAGAACCTTAGTGCCAATGAGAAAGAGATTGCCTCCTTAGTATTACACCAAGGAATTTCTATTTTAGTTAGAACTTTATCAAACCGACCTTTCGCTCGATTGAATCTCAAATCCTCTTTGGTTTTAATATATTCATTTTTGTGTTTATTTTCACTTTTTTTGAAAGATCTTATCCATACAATCACAAGTAATTGGATTAAAATTATTGAAATGAGAACTACATCAGTAGTTAAAATAGAAGGAAATTGATTTATAAATGTTTGTCCCAACATAGTCTTCTTACCTGAAAATTATTCAGTTTTAAAATTTTTAAATAGATTATATTATTTTTCAAAATTTGTTTTGTTGAAAATTTATTAAACGTTATAGATAAATTAATGCGGACCTATTGTTGTACTTGGAGTTTGGTAGCTCAGTGATAGGATACTGGGCTTCCAATGCTAAAGGTCCCAGGTCCGAATTCCGGGTCATGGTAGACAAATTATTTATTCTGTTTCATTGGCCGTGGGGCGACCCTGGGTAGGTAGACCCTCATGGGGCATACCCAACCTCAATAAAGTGGGTATCCTTAATTATAATAATTGATTAAGGGGAAAAACCTGGTGGTTAAGCGTGATCTCGGTCAAATCACCTCCTTGAACAACTGTAGACCATGAAACAGTGCTTTCCCTAAATACTAAATAGAGAATCCAAGACTATTTTTTTTATTATTTTTTTTTATTGTTGTACTGTGACTTACTCACAATTCTTATCATCCTTTAATACATTACTTTCAATAAAAAAATAAGTCCTGGCATTGAAAATTCAAATGAAACTTGAAGCCTTTCTTAAAAAGTAAAAAGCTTGAACTTTGGTAGAAATTAAATTAAAAGACAAATTCATATGACAACAACTATAACAGTAAACAAATTGTCAAGAGCAATTAAACAGACATGAGGATAGTTTTAAGTAGTTCAAAGGTCAGGGGTATTATTAAAGGGGTTTTTAAACTGTTCATCTTCTAAGGTAGAATTAAAAAAAATTAAACTGTAATATCATTCTATTACGAGAATGAGACAAGTTTTGCTGTGATTTCACCAGTATATAATACATAATTGGTCAGATACAATATAACTTTAACAGTCTTTTTCATAAAAGATTCATGAACATTAGAATTACTAAGTGATTTGATGACTCATTGAAACTGACCTCTTCAGTCACATCTTTAACTACAAATCACTGAAGACTGCAATTCCGGCGTAGTTTAAAGAATCACAGAAGATTCATGGCAGTACCAGGCAATTTTCTCGACTCTCATTGTTCAAAACAGTGGTGATTCTAGATTATGTGGAAGCCATCTTGATCTTTCCCAGTGCCTAGAAAGGGGTTGTATGGCCCAAGTTGCACTAACAAAATTTTTGAGTGGGTCAGATTTTTATGAAATTTTAAGTTTATAAGGGTATACAATTTGATGGTTTTATAAACTTTATGAGGAAATCATATTTTTGTTGGATTCCAATTATGGTAGGTACTTTCAATCAGGGAACAATTTTTCTAATTATACTTTTCCACTGTTTTAAGAAGAGTAGTGCAATAAAGTATCTTGGAAGGGAACATGCCTCATCAGCCATGCGATGGGCACTTCCTAGGTCTTTTGAATATCTGATAAATTTAACAGGCTTGAAGTTTGCCATATCTTAGTATTTTTTTGCTATAATAAGTAAACATATGCTCAGACATTATTGAAATGCCAAACTCAACATTGAAAAACCTACTGGTGCAGATTCAGAGCATCAATTCATAAAAATAAGTAAATAAATGATGAGGAAAACATTCTCTTGAACCTCAACATATTAATTACTGAGATAATTAAGGAAATTTTGAAATAAAATAAAATTTATCAAATAAAACTAATCAAAATTAAATAGAGACTTCCAAACTAAATAAAACTAGGAAAACGTCATTATTTCTTGTAATGAGAATAATAGAACAAAGGAATATTTAGTCTATGTAATTTTCTCTTTAAAAATACTAAATAAAGGGCTTAAAAATAGCTTGTATGAGGATTTCATGTTTTCCATGATTCCATGGACTAAACTAATTATTCAATAATTATAAAACTGGTGTAATAAAAAACTCTCTAACTGACTGGAGGGAACAAACATTATTTTCAAAAAAATTAACAAACGGAATTATAATTCTATTGTCAATCAAGTTCTTATCCTTAACATAAATACTTGTTAAGCAGGGGTTGCTTTTAATCATAGACTGGACAGTAGATAGACCTGGATACACTCAATATTATTTCAATTTCATTGACAGCTGGGTTGCATGTGTTTAAAATTAATGATTGAAGCTAAACTAATTTTAAGAAAATGTAGCAAACAAATTACATGAAAGCATGTATGTTACAATTTACTTTTAATTTAATAAAATTCTATATGTTTAAGTAATAAAAAAGATGTCCTAAAGAATATTTTTCCTTTTGTATTAATTTAAAACATGTTAGATAACAATATTCATCAAAAATAGGAATATTGTTTTGGAACGAAATCAATATTTATTTAATTTAACATTTGTATCGGCCATTTTATAAAACCATCATTTTTAGGCTTCAGAAAAAGAGAATGTAGTTAAGATAAACTGGAACTAGATTTGTAATATTAGGAAATAGATTCAAACAAATGAGGAAACAAATGAGGCTTTGTTAAAAACTTTATACCATAAATACACAAAAGACTTTTATTTCTCTATATAAACATCACGCTATCAGGAACAAAGGACTACTACACTCTCTGAGCAACCTCACCCAAGCCAACCTGCTTTGTTTACAACAGCTCAGCAGTGCTGCCAGATAACATACATTAACTCAACACACTCCCACCTTTACAGGTTATGCTTCAAATTGTAAACAAATTTAAAATAACAAAACCAAATTTAAAATATTCAATACAAAAATTTACTGGTAAAGTCATTAATTTAACAACACTTAATTAACTACTTTAACAAATGTTTTCTGTTTCCTTTTTTAGTCTTGATATGATCACCGGCTAATAACATTCCAAGGTACACTACTCTTCTTAGCCGGACTTTTTTTTTTCTTCTCTTCCAGTTTTGAAAACTTCTTTAGAGGACAATGACGAATTATTCTTCGTACCACTAGTTGTTACTTGTACTCCTTTCCTTGTACCTTTCTGACTAAGATCTGGTTCTGAAGAGAACCTCTTGCTGATGACAGACCTGATACTATATCTTATGATGCTCCTGGGAAGACTGTTTCGAACTGCAGGTATGACAGATGGTTTTACTCGAAGGGGTTGTATGACGCGTGGAATTATTGTCTTAACTGGTACTGATCCGTTCTTCTCGGTAGTGCCATCATCTAGACGACTCCTTTGTAAACTGTTGTAATGGTTAGAAGATATTCCAGCTTACCCTGAATGGAGAGACTCGCTTGCACTAGAGTCAAAGCGCTGTAAAGGACTCCCTTTCGTAGGTGTTGTTGGCATAGAACAGGTCTGTGTTTTAGTTTGGCCAATAACTGTCCAACCTAGCCTAGTTTCTGTGGCTATCAAATTTTCAGTTATTGGTTCTAACCTTCCTGTCAGGTTTTGTCCCAGGACATCTAATGCAAGAAACAACTCTATTTCTCCCTTGTCTCTCCCACTATCGCCATAACTCCATGGTATATCATTTCCTTTTAATATATCTAGGCATTCATCATTTGATCTAGGGATATCACTGTAAATGTTTATTTTGTCCAACTTTACTCCACCAGAAAATTCACCTATTAAATTTTCAAGTTCAACATCATGCTCAACATTTGTTTCAACATCTCCAAAAAGGTTATATGAAAGTTTTTCTTCCTTTTCTTTCTGTAATTTCTCTCTTGAAAGACTGATAGTTGCTGAAATATCATAATCATGCCAAGTTTCATTTGAATGCTCAACAAAAGCATCAAATTTATTTTTTATGTCTATCCACTTGTCTTTATAACTCATGGATGTATCAAATTCATCCTCCAGTTTCAACCAATATTTTCATCAACTAGCATCTAAGTTCTTAGCTTTTTTTCAAACTCCAATAGATGTTTAGCTCTTGCTTCTAGTTTTTCTAAATTCCTTCTTGAACTCAGGATCATTTTCAGTTATTTTCTTTTCTACTGAAGTAGGCAAAGTTGTAAATAAATTTCTCCACTGAGCTCTTTCTAATTTGGCAGTTTTCAATTCTTTAGCACTCATTATCCTTAATTTCCCAAACAAGAGATGCAACTATTTAATATTAGGAAATCACTTCAGGAAACAAAGAAGACTTTGTTGACTATTTGGCAGTTTTTAACTCTTCAGCACTTATTATCCTTAATTTCCCAAACAAGGGATGCCACTACGTGTTGTAAGGAAATCACTTCAGGAAACCAATGAGGCTTTGTTGAAAAATTTATACCACAAATACACAAAACACTTTTATTCCTCTACATAAAACCACACAGTCAGGAACAAAGGACTACTACTCCCTGGGTAACCTGATCCAAGCCAACCTGCTTTGTTTACAATAGCTCAGCAGTGCTCCCAGATAACACACATTAACTCTGCAAGAATAATAATTCTATTTGAGCTATACAATTAAAAAAATAGATAGATAGATATAGATATTGTTATAGTTGTAACATCTTTAACTTTATTAACATTTTTGCATAAATAAATAATTTAATTTAATATAAAATATTTAATCCAATTCACAGTACTACTGGTCATAAATTTTTCCATATGAAAGTAACCATCATGGGTCATATATAACACCAATGAGGCACATGTCCATTTTATCAGTAGTTTTCCGAGAATTATGTAGTATGAAGCAAATCAAGTATTATTCTGATGAAAAAATTAAAGCCTCATATGACAGTGGAAGATCAGGAAAAAAGAGAATCTTAATAATACCCTGTAATATAATTAAGAAACCTCATAGATCAACAAATCAAGTATCTGCATTAAATATCTTCCCTCTGCTATCATTACAACAAAATTTTGTATTGTTCTAAAATTTAAAAACTGCATGAAACTTACGTGTAGTAACACATGTTACCACCATAACTTTTCTTGTTGTTGCTCCTCCTTAGCAGTTTTCAGGGAAGGGAAGGGTCTCAACGCACTTATGCCATCCATAGTGGTCCTTCGCTAGCATCCTCAAGGAACTCAACTGCTTACCTCAGTAGAGTGTTTTATATATATTTATTTTCTTCATATTTTTGACTTCTCTTTTCTCTATAACAATGTTGCAGATCTGGTATTAGATACTATTTGCTTTTTGTATTCTATTTAATACTTCTTTATCTTTTTTACCATCTCTTCCAACAGCTCTCCTTAGGTTTATATATTTCTCTGCCAACACTTTAGTCTTACCCTTACAGATTATTCATTAGTATTTGGTCAAAATTACTTATTTTGAAAATGACCACATGTATTGCACCACTATATGATAAAGAGGAACAGATAATAATGATGATGAAGTACTTGTGGTATATGGTTTCTTTTATAGAAAAATTCTAAGTCAATCTATTATACTCGAGCTTCATATTGTAAAGCTATAGGAGGGAAAAAAAATAAAAACAAATATATAGGCTGACTATCTCTACACATGGCATGGTATCGTTTGAACAAATCTTAATCTGGAACAATTACATAATTAAAATATCCTGTAATTCATTTTCATTTACTCACATCTCCCATATTCTATATGCACTTTGAAACTTTTTACTAGGTCAAAGCAGTTAATGATTGCATTTGGTTAATTCCAAGCTAAGCTGAAAATATTAACACAATATTGTCTTTAATTTATATTCACCATCCTCAAAGATATTAATTGCTTATAATGATATTGTTGATTTTGTCCAAACTAACAATATATTTATTTTCTTTGTAGATTGTGTCATCCTGTATTTTCCTAATGCTTTAACTTGAATTTTAAATGAAATCACAATTAAATAATAAGAAACACTTAAAATCATTATGTCCATTAAATATTTAGATACCTCAGGCATCTTTTGTTTATTAAGTTTAATATTAATAGTATATATTTGTTTCCACCACTGTAAACATAAAAAAATATATATGTTTCTGGCAACAACAATAAACAAAATCCTCTGACTATATTGAGAAAAACTAATAATCGGAGGACATTAAAAAAAAAAATGTCTTTTTTAATTATGAATGTACAATCTACTCTGATTTCTTTTGCACAATTAATCAAATCTCAAAGTTTTTGACATTGACAATTTTTTTCAAAGTTATAGATATTGAGATGCAACAGAAAGATTATTAGACTTTCGAAACTGGTATATAAATTGTGAGCCAGAGCTTTGAGGTCAAACAACAAAATGTTAAAATGTTGAAGTTTATAAAATATTATTCTGTGAACTGTAAAATTGAATTAATTTAAGTATAATATATTGAAGTATAATATAATAATATTTAAGTATAATATAATAATATTTAAGTATAATATAATAATATTTAAGTATAATAATATAAGTATTAGGTAAATATATACTGATAAAAGGCTTAGTGAATTGGAATGTTCGATTCCAACACCACCAATCACTTGCTACACATCTCCCTCCATCGTTCGCCATCCAAATCCAATCCCTTATCTTCCCATCTTCGCTTCAGTCTACCCCTTGGACATTTACCATTTGGTACAACAAATATTAACCTGTTAAGAATTCTTTCGTTACCTAGCCCAACAATTTTACAAGCCTATTTGATTCGCTGCGATCAAATCACCTCAATTATATTAACCTAATTCGGCGTTGTGGAATCGTCTAAACTCTCCGATTAACTCATCCTTCATCGGTCATAATATTCTACGCAATTGTTTATTTTCAAAAACAATAAGACGTTGCTCATCCCTTAATGTAAGCGGTCACGTTTCGCATCCATAAAGAACTGTATGTAAGATAATGGTTTTATAGATTTTAGTTTTAAAGTTCCGAGACAAGATGCGCGAGCTAAGTAGTTATGTCGCAGAAAAATAACAAGCATTTCCCGGCATCAACCTAACCTTAATCTCCTCTTCAATGTTGTTTTTTCTAGTTTTCGTACACCCTAGATACGTAAACTTCTCGGCGTGTTCAAACATATTGCCTTGTATACCGATATCGCCATTTTTGCAGCTAACCATATATTTTGTCTTATCCGTGTTTATTTCAAGCCCTAGTTCTATGCCGGCTTCCAGCAACGTTTTCGTATTCAGTTTTACAGTTTTCGCGTCTTCGCTTAATAGGACCAAATCATCCGCATACAGAGCTTTTTTGTAATCCCCTGCTTGATTAGAATACTATCCGTTTTCTGGCAGTCAATCGAATTGTAAGCCTTTTTGAAATCGATATACAGCTGGTGTACAACACCGTTGTACTCGTAATTTTTTCTTCAATATTTGCCGAAGAGAAAATATTTGATCAATGGTTGAACGGTTCCGTCTGAATCGGCATTGGTAGTCTCCGATAATTTCCTCGGCGTATTCCGTGATTCGACTAGTTAAAATTAAAGTGAATATTTTATAACATATCGGAAAGAGTGAAATTCCTCGATAGTTATTACAATCCATCCTCCTACCCTTTTTGTGAATTGAAATAAAATAGATTTTTTCCATTCTTCAGGTAATTTCTCATTCTTCCAGATCTTTTTAATTAACAAATGTATTTTAGAAACTCCAGCTATGCCTTAATTAGTTCACTAGAAATATTATCGGTTCCGCTGATTTATAAGATTTTAATTTTTCCGATAGCTACTTCAACTTGCTCTTCAATTGGTCCTTCTATTAACGGTTCAGCACTCTGGTGCTCAGAAGGAGGACACAGATTATTATTTCCCGTATTTAAAATACTGTTAAAGTAGTTCTTAAACTTATTTAATATGTCAACCGGTTTGGTTAGAATATTGTTATTTTCATCGCTTATTCCATACGTGACGGATCCTAAACATTTACGTGATCTGTTTATACCTTTGTACATGTCTCTTATGTAATTTTGGTTCTATTATCTTCTATTTCAAATATTTTATTTTTAAAATGCTCCCTTTTTTTTATTTTTGGACATTCTTTGAGGTTCAGAAGTATTCGAGATTGTCTTTGCTAGAATTATTTAGAGCTTTTAATTTAGTATCTTTTCTCTTATCACAGATGTTTAAACAATCTTTTTCGAACCACGGTTTGTTCTTTTTATTTTATTTTGTCCCAAGACACGAGTTACCGACCGCTTTAATGCGATCCATACCCATAATCTGTCTATATTATCGGGGTCCTCCTCAGAAGGTTCTAAAGCTTCTAACCTATTCTTAACATCTAGCTCGAATTGAGTTCTAATTGATGAATTTTTTAATTTTTCCAAATTAAAATTCTCGATATAGAAATGTTTTTTTTTCTCTTTTTATATTAAGTTTTTTGCGAAGTTTCGCGATTACTAATTCATGATCCGACCTACATTCTGCTCCGCGATAAGACCGTACATTAATTATACTGCTTTCCCAGCTATGTTGTATCAGAATATGATCGATTTGATTTTGTATTTTCGAATCCGGTGATATCCAGGTATATTTATGAACGTCCTTATGTTTAAACGTAGTATTTTTAATTATTAGGTTTTTCGAGATGGCAAAATTTATCAGACGGATCCCAATATCATTACTATATTCGTGCAAACTTTTTTTACCAATCGTCGCAAAATAAACTTCTTTCCTCCACATCTTTACGTTTGCGTCACCTACAATTATTTTAATCAAGTTTCGCGATAGTTTACCATAAACCCATTCGAGTTTATCGTAAAATTCGCATTTGACTTCATTGTCACTGTCCTCAGTCGGACAATGTATTTTAACGCCTTAACGCAATTTTAAACCAACATCCCTGAAATATGGCTACCGAAATTCTATCACTAAAGAAGTGTACGTCCCTCAAAACGAATAGCAATCTATTCCTAATTAGAAACCTGGTACCTAAACAATGATTCACGCTTCCTCCGTACCAAATAGTGTATACTTTCCTACCCTTATCGAGCTCTTCCCTGGCCAGCGAACCTCTTCCAGAGCCACAATATCCAAATTTACCATTAACCTCATTCGCGACCGATTTTAACCCACCTGCTGAATTCAAAATACTTACATTCCACGGACTAATACATAAATCTCTATTTTTCAACTTGCGCCATGAATCCCCTAAAGCAGTCCCCACCCGTAGACCCGAACGGGGGTCTAGTTTACCTCCGGATAATGAGCGTTTTATCTTAGGGAGATTCATGACTATCTGTGGAGTATCGTGAATTAAAGATATGTGAGTAGGGCGTTTAATCCTACTCCACACCCTCCAGCAAGTCTGAAGGGGTCCCTCTCATTGTTGGTCAGCAAGTCCGTCGGACTTAGCCCGGAGGAACTTCCTAGGAATTTCCACCGACCACCCCCCCATCCGCCACCCGTAGGACGCTCACCATACGCGATAATGAGCCCGCGCGAGGAGGTAAATGTATAAATTATGAAAATAATAAGTTTTAATAGAGAATTAATTATTAAGAATTTTGGGATTATGATCTGTAGTTTATTGAGCGATGAACTAATAGACAATTATTAACTAATTTGTTAAGGTTTCAAAACTACAAAATATTTGTTTATTTTTAAAATATTATATATATATATATATATATATATATATATATATATATATATATAATATATATATATATATATATATATATATATATAATTATATATAAAAATAATAATAATAATAATAATATATATATATATATATATATATATATATATATATATATATATATATATATATATGGACTAAAATATATTTTTTTAAATTTAATTTAATTTATAGTTAAATTAAATTTTAAAAACTATATTTTTTAATAAATATTATATAATTTAACATTTTTATTAAAATTCCAAAGTAATAAAGTATTGTGATATCTTAAGTTATGTTGGTTGTTTTATTTAAAGCAGAGGTTCGCTTTAACAGTGTTGGGGGAAACTCTATTGAAAAAAAGTTTTTTAAGATGTAAGTTCTGAGAGTTTTTTGTACAAAGTTATAGTAAAATTCTAATTTTCAATTATTTAAAAAAATATTAGATTAGAACTAAACAATAAGTAGGCTCAGATTACACATATAATTTTTGATGAATTAATTGTCTTGATTCTTATATTTGCTTTATATGAGTAGCTGATTAAAATTACAATTTTTTATATTTATATAATTACTTTTTGCCAGTATGATCTACTTTAACAGAATTTGTAAATGAAGGTATTTAAAATAAAAGTTCCATTAAAACTTTTATTAAAAAGTTTCAGTAGGAAAGAAAGAACAAGGAAACAATTAAAAACAAAAATATCAGTGTTATTGTGACCAATTAAAATTAAAAGTTTTTGTTTTAAGCCTTGAATTAATGGAGTAATCCCCTTTAGGTGACCAACTCATATGATTTGTCTGTATTAATTTGAAAAGATTAGGTGAATATTAAAGAAGGAATAAAAAAAATAATATAGAATAATGATAGTAGAGATATGTTGGTAGTTATGGTAAATAATATAAACTTTTTTTTTTAATTTTTGCCATTATATTTATTAGTCTCACAGCATAGTTTTACAGGCTCAACTCAACAGCCACAAAAAGTGAATGATTAAATTAAGAGTAAAGTTCTAAATTGTATAGTCTACATTGAGCTAAGTACATTTATCATAGAAGCATCTCTACAGAATAAAATAAATACATATTCTACAATATCTAACATAAATATAATTTACAAATTTGATACAAGAACCAAATTTTTCAAAAATATTTCTGTTATACGTTCAATAATTTCTAGCACATATCTGAAGAGAGGAACTTTCAGTTAAATAAATTTCATTTTAAAACATCAATACTAGTAATAGATTTTATACGATACTGTAGCTTTAACATACATTGTAATATCACGTTTAATGGAAATATAATAATACTGTTCGTAAAAGATATATATAATACTTATTAGAACACAATCGCTTGAAATAAACACATATGGTGTACAAGTCATTTTTTTTTTGTTTTTTCAAGTATATAAATAAAAGTTTTCCATTTTTTTTTCTATTTACATCATAAATATATAATTATTTACCATAAAATAAACTTAAGCTTTCAAAATATACAATATCCTAAAATAGGTTTCATTACATTTGAAAATATCAGGGTAATTTAATAGGAGGAAGTCGCTTAACCGAAGGTTGTCCTGAGTTTGGTAAGAGCAATAGTGAGGTGTTGCATTTCGAGGTTCATTTGGGATACGAGGTTGTCAAGTCTGTCAACAGAGTCCAAAACCTCAACAGTTTCGGTGTGTGGGTTGAAACGAACTTCGAAAGGTCGGGACATGGTTGACACCCAGCGCCTGCAGAGTTTTAAAGATTGAGTTAATATAAATCATAATAAACATTATGTTAATATGAAGCAGAAAAGACCATCTTTATATACCTGAATTTCTCCTTAGCATCTTCGAAGCTTTCTGCTACGAAGTAGATTGGCTGGTATTCCTGATCTTGGTAGGGCTGTACTGCAGTGGTTGAGGGTTCGAATGGCCTGTGTTCTGGCTTGTCGGAAACGGCATGAAGCAGTTCGCCGTAGCTTGAGAGGAGTCCAGCTCCATAAGCCTTCACCTTGCCGTGCTCCTTGCAGAGACCGAATTCAACGGTGAACCAGTACACCTGATCCAATTATCAATATCACATTAGTTTAATCTGTTATAAATATTAACTATATATCAAACAAGATACATATATAATTAATTTCAACCTGTCAGTTATTAAATATGTTATGTTTCAAATGAATCGGGAACTAATCCGTTATTAAAGTAAAACGCTACTCATATTAAAACCCAGAAACTACTAAATACTAAATGTCTACAGGAAACATTGTATTAATCCAATCAATGATTGTATTTGATTTGATTAGAGAAAATATTTAGTTATATAATATGTATCCAGTTTGTTAAAGATAGAGAAAAGTATCGTAATCTAATGTCCCGTGATACATCTTTTAATCTTCACATTTTAAGCAAAATCGTTTTCAATTTTATTTCTTTATATAAAAATTGTTATACTTACAGTAGAAAGTTTTTCGATTTCCTCGTCGGAAGCGCCAAGGGAGGCGAGTCCTATTTCCTGGGAGAATAGCGCAAAGCTTGGATCGGCAAGCAGTGGCATGTGTCCCAGAAGTTCGTGAATGCAGTCACTGAAAATTATCATGAACTTTTTTTAATATCCTTACTAGCCACGTTATACATTATTAAGGCATAAGAAGAAATTACTATTGTAAATCATTTGGTTTCAGGAAGAATGAACAATTAACAATTATTAACCTTTCTATTTCAGATTTGAGAAATAAGGAGCTCAAAGGAAATATAAATGTTATAATTAATTTAAAATAGATAAAAAGGGAACTTTTGAAAGTGAATGGGAGAGGTGCTTTAATTAGCCAAATGAATTTGATTAAACCGTTAAAGGAAGGGCAATGAGAAAAGGTGCGATGGCTGGATGGAATTTGTAACTGAGTTAAGGCTTCTGAGAGAGGAGCTATCATAAGGAGACCATTAGCCACCTATCGCGGCTCTAACTCACTTTGTGGTAACTCACCCTCCCATGAACCTGGCTCATCTTCTATAACTGGTCCCTTCAGTTTGCTTAACCGTTCAATTACATCAGCTTAACTTCACCTTTCTAATTGTTAATTCTATTAAGAATTTCGAAAGATTGTACCATTGTTTTTCTCAAAGAAGTTAAAACATTTCACGTTTCACAATTCAAAAAAATCCATACCTAATATTTAATATGTATATTATTTTTTAGCTTTAATATACTTACGGTTCTGGAGTGTGGAATGGTGTTGTTGTATGCCTGACGTATTGGGTGCTCTGGAAGACCCTGAAAGCGAGACTTGCCAAGAAATCTCTAGCTGTCAAAAGTCCAGCAGCTGGTCTTAGCGTAAATCCGGTGTGTTTTTTGAGGAAGGCAGACATCTCTTCTAATTGTGGGATTCTGTCTGGACGGAAGATTCCTTCATTCTGAAGCTTGGCAAAAGCTGCTTGGTATTCCCTGCAGAAGTGCTTTGGCATCAGTTCCATGACAGTGTTGAACACTGCAGTCCAGGTTGAAGTCTCCTCTGGGGTGTAGTCGATTTTTGGGATTGGGTCACCACTGATTAACAAAAATAAAATTATAGCTACTCTTAAAGTTTTCAATACAGGTGTACTTTGTCATATGTCATAGTATCGAATAAAAACCTACTATTTGTAATCGAAAGCAATGTTGGCGATGACCCTTCGCCTTTCCCTGTAAACTTTGTCAGCGAATCCAGGATGGTTCATGTCCAATTCTGGTTCGTACTTGGTCATCAGGTGATTGCAGTTGTCGAGTTCCCTGGCGTGTTTTGGAAACCATGGGTCTATGGATATTTTTAAAAATTAGAAACAATTCGACAATCGGATATTTAAATTGTAACATTGACAAAATACTTACTCTTGATATCGATGGAGTTGTCAGCGAGGAGAGTGATTCCTCCCAGTGAGGAACTCTGCCTCAATGTCTTGATAAGGAGAAGAAGGTTCTGGCGGGACATGTCCACTTTGATTAAGACGTCAAATTGGACACCGCTCACCTTGGAAGGCCTTGACTCCAAATGAACGATAGTGCCCTTGTTAACTTCGACGGTCTTGAGGATCCTTGCCAGAGAGCCAATACCCTCTCGAAGTTTGACGACAAGAGCAGCTCTTTGCGCGGAATCTGCTGCTTCCTTGCTTTCGTTGGCAGCATTGCTCAGAATGACTTCCTCCTCAGTCAATCCGGCGTCTGAAAGGATAAGACTCTGTATTACTTTCCATTAGTTTACTAGAGAAATTAGAAGTCTTTTAAATTTTTTTAAAACAGAAAATTATGCAGGAAACCTATTGAGAGATATTGGATCTATCAATCTTTTCTTTAAAACGGTAAATTTCGGATTAATGAATAGTTGAAAAAAGTATGAAATTGAAGAATATTTTGACTAAAGATATAGAACAGTCGACAGAATGCAAAATCTATGGAATAAGTGAGCCGTTCGCTCTGGGCTAAGTGGTCACGGGTCAATGAACAAATTGCCTCGGAGATGGGACAATGAAGAGTCCGGAAATTGCTGGGGCGACTCCTCAAAGAGCTCGGCTCCAGCAACCCTTCCGCCGTCGCCTCCACTTCCACCCCTCTAACCCATACTTTTTCTTACGTCATTTAATGTTTTAATGCGATCTAAAAAAAAAAATAATCCTATAATAGAAGTAATCGAATATGGGTTTTACCTGATTTAGTAGGGGCTGGAGGTGCTCGTACATTTTCACAGACGTTTTCCTTGTTCTCTTCGTCTATTTCTAATGAGGTTAAAAAAATAAAAAATAAATAAAAACATTCAAAACATCACAGTAACTACTCAAAGGTGCAAAAAAGATACAAACCTGCGCGTTTGTGTTCAACGTGTTGTTCCTTGATTTCAACGGGTTTTTTGATTTCATCTAAGTAAAAATAAATAAATAAAAATCTCTACGTAAAAATAAAATGGATAAAAAACAAAAACAAATATGATCTGTGAAAAAGTTACCTTGCTTGTTGTGTTGAGCTAGTTGAGTAATAGGTTCAGCATTTTCTAGAAATTAAAACAATATCATGCTGCGTGCTCATCAAAATAAAATAACGAAATAAAAATAATTAAAAAAAGAATGTAAACATTGATTGAAGTACAGTAACAACGAGCTAAGACTCACCATTGGTGCGGAGCCTGGCCTCTTCGAGGACGCATTGCTTGGTCTGCTTCACTACCACGGTTTCAAAGCGAGCATCATCTACCAAGGACCTTCTCCTGGCTGGGTACCCATTCTGTAAATAACGAAAAAATTATTTATAAAATGAGTCCTGAGATCCGGATTTCGTCTTGTATAGGACCATAGATGGGAAAGAAACAAAGACATTTGGGGCACAGGTGAAGGACTTATGCGATTTATCCCCCTCTGAGGGCCCATCCTCGGAGCGATTTGGGCCTAAGCCGGTCTGATTTAATGGACTACCCTTCGGATATCTAAGAAAGATTGCTAAATTTAATGCTGCTTTCAATCACCGTGTTATTGAGAACATAATCAATTTGTTTATTAATATGGCTGTCATTGATATCGTACGTGCCACGTCCAATCTTCGGTGTACTAATTGAATCGGCAGGTCATAATATATTTTTAAAGGTTACAGCTGCAATGGACCATTACGATAATAATATGGAAAAGTGCAGGTACCGGCAGGGTCCTTGGTCGGTTACACTTTCCCATGCAGTGATCCTCACACGATACCTCAGACCGTTACCGGACCTTGACATACCGTAGAAAGGGATATTAAAAAAATTAATTATATCGCGTGTTGTGTACAATCGGGGTATGATTAACGAACCGGTTTTTCAGGTTGCCTATCCGACAAAACCATTTAACTGTGTTAATAGCGAAAAAGTGTCATAGGATCGCGAATTAATCAGGAATTAATCTGTTAATAGACTTGAATGAAAAACAGGTTAAAAAATCCGCTCTTTTTTTTCTTTGCTAAGTTATTAATAGGATTATAATAATCAATCTAGAAAATAAACAGCTATATATATCTTCATTGTACCATCGGTATAGTCATACTTTAACATTTATTTAAAAACGGACTCGTGCTCATTTTTATTTATTTCGTTCGTTCTGATTTTCGTCATTAAAGAAGTAATTTAAAATAGATACTGTTATGGATAGCATGAAAAATAATATTCCTAATCCAACAGGTGAGGAGAGGCCGAAGTGGCACGGTGGAAATCCCCTTGATAGCTGTTTATACTTCACATTTGAGGGATGTGCTATTTCTCTGTTATTTACGGTTATCTGTGCTCATTAGCGACTCCACGGTAGTTTTATTATAATAAACTATTTTCTTCATTCAGCAAATGACAAACCGTTTTCATTTATAAAATTGGTTTTATTTATACTGTATTGCACAAAATTATACCCTGATAAATAAATAAATGGATAGCCTTTAAACTTTCGATGCGAATATCATCAAACTTTATTTTAATTAAGGTTTCAAAAATTAACGATTTCATGATTTTTAAAGTTTAGTTGGGAAGCGTGAATAAATTAAATGTAATGTATTTTTTTTTTCAATGGATAACTTTTCGTCTTTAATAGAACTAGTTGTCTTTTGGTGACCATTTATGTCAGTTGAAATCACTTTTTTTAAAATTATATTTATAGCGTTCGAAATTCAGTTCTATATTTGTTTAGATGGCTGTTTTTGTGCCCGTGGAAGATACTTGAATTTGAATGAAATAATTTTTTTTCTTTTCTAAAGTTATGAATTAAACCCAAGACAGCATTTTTTCATATAAGCGTATTATCTTATTCATTGCTTTAACACCTTTCAAAAGTCGCCCAGACTGGAAGAAGTGCAATCAAGGTACGTAGTGGCTCTTGTTTTGACGGTGAGCACGGACAATCCACTGGCCTGTGCCGGACAGCTCGACTGGTTGTCAATACAAGCGTCCACTCAACCCCAGCGGTGGTCAATGTCGGCATTTAGTCATCATTTTTAACATGGCGATATTATCGTTACAAAAATAAAAGAATGATTTAAAAAAATAATAACTCCTAACTTCATGTTATGCAAGAAAAAAAATTCTGGAATATTGCGTAATTCAGGGTCGAATACTATAAAAATTTATGTTCTCGTATTTTCCCTAAGACTTCCTCAGAAATAGCCCGTTCAACACGCTCCATTTTTAATTTCACACCCATCTGATTTTTTTTGTTCGCTCTTCATTTAAGGAATAAAGAAGAGGAAGAACCATCGGACAAGACGTGCCTCTGGCATACCTCTAAAGAAGTAGAATCAAAGGACACAGAGACAAAGAAACAAGGACGGTACGTATTACATCACAGGGCAAAAACTTGCTGCTCAAGGTAGATAGTGCAATGCGGTGCAGCTGTGTACCATTGTTACTTTTCATAATTGCTCAAGACCGGTTGCAATCTCTATAATCGTGTTATATTTAAATTTATCAAATGATAACAAGAAATAAGTAATGAAATAAATTTCAATTTATGTCGCGATGCAGCAGATGAATTCGTGTAAAGGGAATCTCGCCAATGTAATTTCTGATAATAAATCACAGCGATAATTTGCTTTTACGATCAAGTTGTATAACCATAAATACTTCTCTTTATTATTTCGTTCTTAACCTTGGTTGGCCAGGTTTGAGTGGTGTAATAAATTGGTGCTCGGTTATTGATTGCGCAAATCTATTGGTCTTTGGCGCTTTTCTTTTCATTTGTGAAATTAAACATTAAACTTTATTGGGTAATATTGTATTAAAAACAAAAATAATAAAAATTCAGACAGCTAAAGCGAAACTTGGAGTAACAGCTATCAATTTGAAGGGCTTTTTATCAATTATTTTTCAAAATTATAAATTAAAATTCAGAATTTTATTGATTATTTAGTATATGAAAAGAACTATAATACGAAATATTCCGTAATCTTAAAAAAAAATTGTCTCTTTATGCGCCTTGTAACATCTTTCAACAACATAAAAGATCACAAAAAATTATTATTAATGACTAAGTTGTTAAGCAACTGGTCCTGAATGCGGAAAAAGAGTTGTTCGGTAGATGACCCCGAAAGAGAATAACCGTCCTTGTGGATTTGAAATCGGGAGTTTCAATAAAAAAACAACTAGGTTTCATATCTAAGCCTCGGATTGGCCAACATTCACTTGGCTAGCCACACCTATTTTAGACAAGCCTTGACTTTCATGTATTAGTTGCTGATCCTATTACAGTCGAATAGTTGCATTCGCTAATGATTATCTGGCAAACATACTTGGTTTCGTTGATTCTTTATTTGTTTTAATGTTTTTTTTTTTAAATAATGTTCTCGATAACCTATATGTATATATTTTAATATATAATATTATGCGATACTTGTTCCATTTATCCAAAACCTAAAGGTATATTGTGTACGGACTGAATCCAGGAGGTCTCTTTAATAAAACAGATAAAGTTTATAAATTTATTAAAAGTTTGGCGAAATGTTTTGCCCGTTTTAAAGTGTTTGCTTCAGAATGTATTTATTATTGCAAAATGAAAACAAACATCATCGGGATAAAGAGCGAAGGCCACGGAGATGTTTTCTGTTAAAAACAGTCAAATAGCTTCTCGGAGTGAGGAGCTGTGGGCGCGGCGCTGGGTAGGCAAACCCAAAGCGCATCACCACCCCCTCGACGGGACTTCATTTTTTAAGTTTTATTTCAAGTTTTCAGTGAGAAAATAAAAAAGTTATATATAATATATAGTAAAAGTTCAATTTTGTGTTTATATTGTATTCAATATGCTTGATATCTTATGATATACTGTAAAATGAATTATTGATATTATAATATAATGTATAAATTAAAATAGTTAGACTTAGAAACTAGTTAATATTTAATTTAAATATGTTAATGTAGATATTCTGATGTACCATCACCATTCTAAGATATATATTTTTTTAAATTGTTATTTTATATTTAAATTTTGTTATATGTGGCTTTATGTACCTCAATGCTGTAAGACTTCTTAATGGCGAACATCTCCCTGTTCTTCTGGGCTGCGGCTACGGCCATCATCTTGATGTTCTTTTTTGTCGGACGTTCTTCTAATTGCAAAAGGAACGATGAGCACTTCTCTCCACCTCTTCTACAAGCTTAAAAAAACTGTCTAAGTCCCGGACAAGGGCTGAAGACAATATCTAAATTGTTCCCTTCTTCTGGGACTACTACAGATGAGCTGCTGTAAGCGGCTGAGGAGCCTGAGGATCGTGAGACTGCTGATATCGCCCCTACCAGAGAGCGGGCCTTATATACCCGCACCTCCCCTCCAGGGGGCCCCCCACTCCGCTCACCCCCTCGCCATCGGCAAATTCGTTTATTTAATATCCACTCTGATAACTATTACTTTTAACCTTGTCACTTACGTATATCTCAGCTGGAATATCTATGACTAACCTTTATTCTTGTCTCGCCGGATTTTTCACACTGCCATGAGGTCCAATGACAAGTATCTTCCCATTGTATTTTTTTTTACAATTTTTAAATTAAATAATTTTAATAATCTTGTTATTATTATATCATATTCACATGCCCATTCTCTACGTTTAAGACCAATTCAATTATTTTTCAAACGAAACAATAACATATTATTTTCTTCTTTATGATGAAATGAAACTAGTGGATCATCTCGCAATTTAACCAAATTAATTTCAAAGCCTTAATAATATTTAAGTCATAATTTATGTGTTATTTTTTTTATTTGTTAGTTATAATTATTTAATGTAAAAAAATATGAAAATAGTTAGTAATATTTTATAATGCCATATATAAAGATAATATGATGTTAAATATTTTTTGGCGTTTTTCGTACTATTAACTATGCATATCATATTTAATTATATTATGTATTGATCATTATTATTCTTATAATGTGCTTATATATACTTATATCCATACGCTATTTAAATATGGTATATATTTATACACTTTGCCTATATTTATAAGTACTATGCCTACTATTATTTTATAATTTGTCGTATATTTTATATATTTATTATTTTATTACCTACAATGTTTTACTTCATTATATTATTATTATAGTGTAAATTGTATTGTATAGAGTATTATATTATATTTAATTGTTTATTCTCTGATATGCAAGCAAGATCTTCCTTGTTATTAGGAGAGGATGTTATTGTAATCCAAAGAATTATTTAAAGGGCATTCTTCGAAAACAAATATAAATATCCATTCGTTCTTAATTATTTTCGCGATCGTATTAAATTTAAATTTTTCATAAATTACTTTTATATTTCATATGGAATTAATCCTTTATTTCTTCATACCCTGTATTTGGAATTGGTAATTTTCTCCTGTACATTCTTATATTCAATATATCAGTTTATTTTTTCTACCCAAAAGAGTTAAATTAACAAAAAAAATTAACAAAATTTCAAGCTATATTTGAGTCAGATATTTGAAACTAACCAAGGTCGGATTTATGCGTACACATACTTGTCCAACTATAGGTGCATTAATTAATTATTTAAGGTTTATTTTGTTTATCAACTCATAACAATATCCTCAATTTTATGGAAAAATCATATATTTGTTTTTTATAAATAATTTCAACACCTATTACAAGAAGATATTCCCCCACGGAATAAATATTAATATTGCATTCATTTCTATGCTCACTATTAGTAATAATAATAATATATATATTTTACAAGATTAGTTAATTTTTAAGAATATCGAATGTATTTAGTATTTGTTCACAAATAGCATCTTTTGTCCTGAATATGTTTTCATCCGACAAAATTCATTATTAAAATTGTGAATATAATGTACTCCTGATATCATTCTTCTTTTCTAAATTTATTTTTTTACCATTAACAATACTTTGTTTATCTTTCTATTTTATTTTTCATTAATATTTGTTATTTAATATTTTTTTCTCTTGCTAGCGTATTTTGCTATTGTTATAGTACAAAAAAAAAATTAAAATGATCAAAAATTACAATACCATTGCTATAAATTAAAAAAAAAAATAAACTGAGATTCTTTGTCTTTTGACATGTATTTGCATAGTTTTTTTTCGGCTGATCATCAATTTTGAGCTTTATTGTATGCATTATATTATACAAGTTGTAAAACAGAACTGATGCAAATACTATAAATAATTGTTATTTTATTTACCACTTATTAAATAATATATATTGATTATTAACTGGTTCTTCTTTTAACTATGTATTCTTTCTGTAAACGGATCTTTCAATCTTTCTGTAATCGGACTTATACTATTACTTATTTTTTCTTTTTTAAATATCTCATATACTTTAATGAACTCCATTGTCATCTGATTGTAGATGCTACCTCTATTACTTCTAAAATTAAGGAATATTCTCTGCGGTATATGGACAATGAAACCACAATTACCTTCTATTACTTCCTAATTTTTCAACATTTCTTCCTTGGTAGATTTTTCTGTTTTCCATAGATTTGTTTATCCTTGAGATATTGAAACGTAGTATTTTAAGCTTCTCTATTCCCTTAATATTTCTGAACACCCTTGCACCCTGAACACCATCTTCAAATTGTTGACGATACAGCAATTCTGTATTTCCGCAGAAATCATTTTTTAGCACCTATTGCGCTTTGAAATCATTCGTTTGATACGGCTAAATGATTCCTCGAATGGAGAATGAGAACAAATCTCATCAAATCAAGCTATGTCAGTTTTTCCTTAAGGAAAGCTGTATGTACACCTACAAATGTTGACAACACAGAGCCTTAAAGAAATGGTACGTAATAACTCGATTTGGACCGAAGACTCATTTGAAATATGTAAACAAAATTAAAAAGAGAAGAATTGACAAAATCATATCATCAACTATCACATATTTGAATCATATCCTCACTTGACTTACGAAAAAATTTACATAAATAAAATTATAATAAGACCTATTAGGGTTTACGGAATGAAACAAAATAAGAAATCGCTAATGGATCCTGATAATTTTAAAATCACACCATAGACACTGAAATGACAATTCGAGCACTCAAGTCATTTATTCACAACAAGTCCAGATTTTATTATTCAGTACAGATTAAACAAAAGCCAGTAGTCCGATATTTTCTCTATGACCAGATTCGAAAAAAAAATTGCCAAACATATCAACTTCACCAATAATTAAAATAAACATGCATTTACGTAAGTCAAAGAAACAAAACATGGATAACATATTTTCTAGTTACGCTACAGCGAGGATTTTTTTAAAATGTTTGTTTTTTTTTTGTTTTTTTTTACTATGGGTTAGAATAACGTGCTAGAAGGAATTTGTTTTAATTTGGATTGACTTTCTCATTTTTTTTTTTTTTTTTTTTGCATGGATAAATGATGACAAATACCCATACGATCTCAAGTTCGTCGATGGGTTTTCCTGCTGAAACCGAAAGGCATAAAGTACAGGTGAACCAGACCAGTTTGCGGTGGTGGTGTAGAGGCGTTGTGATTCCCTGAAGAATTAAACGGAATTGGCCGGCTGACGTAGTTGAAGGCCTGTTACTTGTGAAATAGTGACCAACCTGACTCAGAAGACGTTTAGCCCGCTCGGGAACCCCCAGCTTCTATGGACTTCGTAGCCTCTTTTCCTCCTGCCACTATTAATAGACGTTATTATTTTCCTCTTTATCTTAAACGTTTTATCAAAACCAAACAAGTAAGCTCTGGTTTTCATTACAATCTCCCTAAGTTATGTTAAAATAAAGATGAATTTCTTCCATGTTTTAAAAAGAAAAACAATCTTAATAAACATATTTTTATTCATTACCTTTAGATTTTGTCTGTAATATTATTTCGAACAACTTATTAAATATATATATATATATATATATATATATATATATATATATATATATATATATATATTATTTTTTTATTCATAATTTTTACAACTGTATTAACAATTAAATAAATCTAGTGAATGTGAACACTAGGGAGTGGGGTAGCTCAGTGGTAGGGTACTAATGCTAAAGGTGCCGGGTTCAAAACCCGGCTCATGGCATAAAATTTACTTATCTGTTTCCTTGGCTGTGGCGCGACCCTGGTTCGGGAGACCCTCCTGGGGCACACCTAGCCTCTATAAAGTGGGTACCCTTAATTAAATAATTAATTAAGGGGGAATACCTGGCGGTTGAGCGTGATCTCGGTCAAATCACCTCCTTGCACAACCGTTGACCTAGAAACAGTGCTTTCCCTAAATAGTACTGAACCCAAGACCCTTCATGGGTTGTAGTGGTACAGGTTTTTTTTTTTTTTTTTTTTTAATGTGAACACTAGAATACAATGACAGTGTTGAGAAATTTACCTCTGATAGCACATTAGGAGTATATTTATATTAGCAAATCACGAGAACATCTTTTTTTCAGACACCTCGGAGGGCCATCAGGGATCGAAGAGGAAGCAAGGCTAGAAACGAGAAGGTTCGGATGGTTCTGAAGTTTATTATGTAAGGATATCTATAAGACTTTAAGTAATAAGACTTGGAAATGCTAATACAGGAAATATTGTATATTTGTAACAATTTGTTTATTCTTAACTATGGAGGTACCAGCTGTCTGTCTAACGGCGGACCAACCCCCATTTTACAAACTATACAGTGTTCATTTAATTGTACTATTCGTTGCTCAAATTGTATAACTGTAATTTACGCGTATTCTGTAATTCCGATTGTATTAATTTTTATTAACATGACCACTGTTTAGATAAATTTTTAATTTCTTTAAACATCCATGTTATAGATCGCTCCTTATCGACCATTTATATTATTATATAATTATTTCTATTGCCAATTTTTAACCATAACATATATTCAACTTGTCCAGCTTCATATAATCCCCACATCAATTTGAGTACTTTATTTCTAATATTTTCATTGTACGTTGTATTGTTCTTCCTTTTCTATTTAATAATAATCATAATTATATCGCAATATAATATAAAGAATATTATATTATATATAAAATAATGATATAATATAATAATTAATGTATTGTATTCAAAGGGAAAATTTCTAGATCGTAAAACTGTTAAAATCTGCTGGTAAAATCAATCTACCACCTTCAGATGAATACCATTTTCGGTACAAATGTTTGATCTAAAATCTCTATTTGGTATTAGGATTGTAGAAGGTAGCAGGAGCTCAACACATGAGTACTTAAATAAATATCTGTATGATTAGTGCTAATTATAGAGTTATACTTCTCTCCTAAT